CTAGACAGTATAGACAAATTGTTGCTATTTAAAATGCAAGCATTCCTAGTCTATAACTACAGTATGGTCAGAGTGTAATCCAAGTCCTTGTAATTTGTTGGTTTCTGTAGGAGTGAGCCTTCACAGGGTATACTTGTGATGAGTTATTCTATGTGGAGAGAAAACTGCCATAAATTCAGAGTGAACAGGAGCATCCAGTAAGAATTCCTTCTCTCAAGGAAAAAGCTATGAACCCCCCTGGTTTACCTTGGATGCTTCATTAAAATCAAACCCTCCTACTGACACAATGGGTTTTCCCTCTATAACATTCTAATTTAAGGAAGCATAGGGTTTCTTTTAAAAAAAATCTTTCAGAATGTAAAGTGCCTGAAGCACAATTCTCAGGAAACACAGTTTATAAATCAGAGCTAGTTCATCACACACACACCCCAGTCAGCCTGCAGGCACCATGTTTTAGACCAGACATCTTCATTCTGATTGCGCTCAAGGAAGGAGGCGAAATTGCAAAGAAAACCCTCTCCCTGCCAACCAAGAAAATGTGCTTTCCTCAGCTAAAAGAAAATTTAACCGAGCTAAGAAATGCTGTCATTTCTGAGCCCTCTCCATTGCTTCTTTTCAGGTGACCCAGAATGATATGATAATGGCTGAAAGGCTCTTTGGGATCCTAGCACACGTAGCATCCTCCGAGTTACCTCAGTATCATCTGATTTCAATTCTGGGGGATGCCAGGTAATTTTTACAAGTTTTGTTGATTGCTCTTACACTAGAAAAAGTAATAAACTGCACATAGTTCTTAAGTGTGTCATTGATTCATCTTACAGACATATACATTAGACTTATTTGGGAGCTGACCCTATTCAAAGGTTGAAGAATATAAAGATGAAAGAGAGAGCATCCTTGTTTCATGTAGTTTATACTCTGGTTTATATGCAGTTTATACTCTGGTAAACTAAAGATATACCATAAGTAATGGAAATGTAGCTATTGATGCTATAGGGAAGGACTACAGAATCACAGGGAGAGGCTAAAGCAAATAACAAAATTGATGGAAAAATACATGTTTAACTATATATATTGAAATGTTAAGAGCGCCCATTAGAAAAAAAAATATTTGCTAAACTACCAAAAGAATAGGGAAAAATATTCCTAATCAACACAAAACAGGAGAGAAAATAGCATATGAGTTTTGTAATAAATATTAATGGGTGAAATTCTCATTAATGGATAATTAAGTCACTTGTTTTTGAGAAACTTGTGAAGGCTGAAAACAAAGGAATGGAAAATATATAATGTGACAATGCCAATAATGAACAAATATGGGAAAATTAATATTAATGACAATAGAATTGATGACACTGAAGATGACAGTCTGCCAATAACCATGAAACAATGTAAGCAAGATGACAGCTTTTAAATACACCAAGTAGAAATATATATTGACAGATTGTTTTTGTAATAGACATTAATATAATTTTTAATCAGTTGGATCAAAAAACCAAAATAAGAAAAATATGAAGGATTTAAATAATATACTGTATCAAGTAAATATACTTAAAGACTTATTCTAAAAACTTTATAGCCAATTCAGAAAAAAAAAAAAAATATATATATATGTATAAGCATATTAAGCATCTATGACATGTTGACAAGTGAACATATATTAAACTCAAAGAAATTTCCCTGGTATTCCAGAAATACATTCATATGGATCACATTTTCCGATCATAATATCATAAAATTAGAAAATAATGAGCTAGGGGCTGTGGTTGTCTTGCAGTTCTTAGCATGGAGGAGGCCCTGAGTTTAGTTGTTAGGAGAGCCCGAAACAGTATTCAGTTGGAATTGGAAAAACAAAAACAAGCAAGTCTCCAGAAAACAAAACCCCAGTGCCTCTAAGCTTTAAAAAGGTGCCATTTGACCTTAGTCAAAGCGATAAATGTGCAAATTTTGGATTAATGAGATAACTGTGAAGAAAGACTGTAAGCTTGTGATACACAACTTGGTAACGTGGAGTTTTTATACAGAAATGATAGCTACTGCAATTATTTTTCATGGCAATTTAGCAATATCTAACAAATTTAAAATGTGCATACCTTCTAACTTAACAATTTCAGTGAAAGGCATTTGTCCTATGGTTAATTTTTTTACATGAGCCCAAATATTTGTGCCTGAGAATTTTTGTTGCAGCCAGTATTTATAACAACAAAAGTATAAAAACTCACTAAATCCATCTGTACAAGATCAGTTATTTAGAGCTCTAAAAGTAATTAAATGTTCTTGTATGAAACTCCCATTTAAGAAAATAAAACATCTCTCAGAAAATAAAAACACAAGTACAGAATACTTGTATAATATACTGAAGTTGCAAGAAGTGGAATATATGTTTTAGAGATATAACTGTGCAATTTAAAAATGTTTGATTTAAGAAAAGAAAAACCTTTAAGTGTTGAACTAAGATATGAAAGTGTGGAGATAATTCACTTTTTACTGTGTGTACTTCTTGAATTCTCTTTTTAGGTTTTGTTCTGTTTTGATTTGAAGTTTTTGTTGTTGCTGTTTTTGTTTTGTTTTTTGAGACATAGTCTTGCTGTGTAGCTCTTCCTGGCCTTGGACTCACTATGTGATCCTCATGCCTCAGCCTCCTGAGTGCTGGCACTACAGGCATGTGCCCCCATGCCTGGCGTTCTGTTTTGGTTTGTTTGTTCTTTACATTCCTTTTTTTCTTGAAGAAGTTTTAAAAATCTTTCACTTTTTTCAATTAAAGAGGAAATTAAATTTAAAATAATAAATTATATAAAAATGTATTTGACAATTAGAATACATATGTCAAAACCTCTGGGATGTGGTCAAAACTGTACTGAGAGGCAACTTTATATCTTTAATGTATTTGTTAGAAAATTAGAAATAAAAGAAGCTTTCACTGCAAAAAGCTTTAAAAAAAAGATACTGATGAAGATAACAGTTAATTTTAAAGAAATAATAAATTGGAAATAGAATAAGTGACCATGACAGGCTAAAATTTACTTTCCAGTTAATCCAAATGCTCAACTATTAAACTATTAGAATTAATCAGATGATGGAGCAATGAGGTTAGATAATTCACAGATCAATAGATCAACCCTCTCCTAGTACCCGCTTGGGCTTCCTGGTAATCAGTACCCATTCTGCAGCTACCTGGAAACAGAAGTCTTCTGTCATCTCTTTAATATAAAAAGACACCCATCAGTTTTGCAATTTCTAATTTTTAGGAGTTTTTTGCCATGAAACGGGTAGGGTGGTAGGAAGGGTAGAGCTAGTGCATATTTTATAACATTGCAGAAGCTGCATTTAGCCCGGAAGCATTTTAGGTATCTAAGTTTTGATTTTGCTACCCTCACACAGCAGGAACAAAAGCCCGAGACCCTGTCTACAGTGTTTAATATAAATTGAAATCTTACCAGGGACACCCAGTGGCTGCTATACCATAGCTAAAGATGTATCAGAAGTAAGCCTACCTCCTCTCCACTCTCAGGATTTTCTAGGAGAAGTTGCCTTTGTGAGTAGAAAAGCAGAAAGTTGTCCTTGAGAAGACAAAAACAAAAGACAGCCCTCACAGAGATTGGTAGCCTGGATTTATAACACTTAGACAATTTAAAATCAAAGTTTAAACATTATTCTCTCTATATATATCTTGATATCTGAATAACTCTGGAGCAAATCACTTTCATACAGTTTCAAAGAATGCCCATGGATAATCCTTAAGAATGCTGACCAGCTACATGTGGTGGCACATACCTGTAATCCCAGCACACTGGGAGGCTGAAGCAGGATTAAAAATTCAATCCCAGCATGGGCAACTTCACAATTGAGCAAGACCACGTCTTAAAATAAAAAATAAATAAAGGGCTGGAGATGTAGTGCAGTAGAAAGGTCGTGGGTTCAGTCTCTATACACACACACACTCACAATCACAAACACAGGCAGAACAGTAAGCAGTACAGAATGAAAGGTAGTAACACTCCAAAGGCATCTTGTATACATTAAGAGCATAAAAAAGACACTACAGAAAGAGACCCATGAAGACGGAAGATATAACTCATAGATAACAGCATGACTGTGTCTTATATATCTTATGAAATAAAATGTAAGCTTGAAACAGAGAAAATAGGGGCTGGGGATTTAGCTCAGCGGCATAAGCACCTGCTTTGCAAGCAGGCAGTCGTGAGTTCGATCCCTGGTACTGATAAAAAAGAAAAAGACAAAAAAAAAAAAAAAAAAAAGAAAAGAAATAGAGAAAATAAAAAGTTTTAAGTGATCCAGCCAATCTGAAAGGAAACCAAAGGAAAGTGAAGAATATGATAAATTTTAAAATGAGCAGGGAAGTTTAATAGCTGATTAGAAAGCCTTGAAAAGAGATCCAGTAAACTGGGAGATGTATTAGAGGAAAGTTTCCAGAATGCAACACAAAAATAAAAGAAGATAACTTGTGGAAAAGTGATTAACAAATTTGGAGAATGGTGTGAGATGGAAAGTTTATATTCTTTGTTTGGAGCTTCAAAAAAAAAAAAAAAAACAATGAAGGATGTGGAACAGAGGCAACATTTGGAGAGGTAATGACAACATTGTTTTTTCAGAATGGAAAAAAACAGATTGACCTACAAATTACATAAATCCCTGATGGGGTAAACAGAAATCCACATATGACCGTATCATAATGAAACTACAGAACACTAAATGTGAAGTGAAAGATTTTAAACAACTGGGGAAGAGAGGCGGTCTTCAGACTAGTGCAGACCAGCGGGTTACTTTACCATCGCAGTGGTGGAGGCCAAAAGAACAGGGGAGTGAATGAGTGTGGTGTGTTCATGGCACCAAGGAAATTAACTGCCAACCCTAGAATTCCATGCATAGAAAAATGTCCTTAAAGAATGAAGATGAAACAAAGGCTTTTTAAATCTTGAAAACAAAACCTAGAACAGTTCTCATAATATTCCTGCACTCAAGGAAATTAGAAAACTTACCATTAAGGTGGAATGGTGGTCCCATTTAGAAGATCTGAGAGCTAGACTGCAAGACAAGCATCAGATATGTTGAATAAAATCAAATGAACGTTGACCACATAAAGCAGCAATAGCAACATTGTATAAAGTTTAAAGATAAATAAAATACAATCCTATAGTAGTAGGAAGGAATAAATGTTAGTAAGAGTTTGCATTGAGGGGCTGGGGATTTAGCTCAGCGGCATAAGCGCCTGTCTTGTAAGCGCGCAGTTGTGAGTTTGATCCCTGGTACCGATTAAAAAAAAAAAAAAGAGTTTGCATTGTAATTTCTATGGTAACCCAAGAATAAACATGTAGAGCTCCTAAACTAGTAAGAGAGAGAAGAGGAAGGAAAGAAGGCAAAGAGAAAGGAGACGTGGAGTGTGTGAATTCAATATAAAAACCACAACAGTAGGTTGGGCCTAAGGAGTACTGTCTCAGCAGTTACTTTTCTGTCATTTGCCATTGTAAGTAAAAAACACCTCAAAACTCACTGCTGTAGAACAGAAGTATTTCTTTTTCCTCTGAGTCCACAAGTTATCTGGGTGTTCATCTACCCTTGGTTGGGGTCCTCCTGCATATGCTCACCTCCAGCTCCGGTAGGAGTTCTGCTGGTCTGCCCTGGGCTCTCACACTGTTTGAAGGCTGGCTGGATGTAACCTTGTCTAGGAAGGGGGCAACTTGTCTCTGCCTGCCATGGGCTCCCATCCTCCTGCCTGGTTTGTTCTCATGGCAGAAAAAAGGTTCAGAGAGAGTGGACATACGCAAGGCCTGCTGAGGCCTGTGCTGCAGTCTGACATAACCATGTGTTTCAGAACAAGGCACAAGGTAACACTGAGCAGCCCAGCAGTAGACTTCAGATACAGAATCTCAGTATAGAGAACATGCATTCAAGGAAGCTGTAATATGACCTCATCAGTCTGTCGAAGTGATAAACACGGTCATACATTGCTTCTTGATAGGGTTAAGTTCTGAGAGGTGCTTTTGGTGGCAATTCTGTCTCTAGGTAATGCAGTCTTATGAGAGCACCATCCTGCATGCAGTCTGTCGTTGACCAATATGTCATTACATGGCACTTGGCTGTATACTATTGCTCTGATTAAAACCCCAAGTTTATCAGGTCAGATAAATAATGAAGTTTAACTATATGTATTTAGAGAAATGAATTACATAAAGTCATATAAAATTTGCAAGTAAGAAAGTGGGAGATGATAAACAACAGCAGTCTTACCCAAAATAGAAAACAGTAACTGTTAAAGACTAAAAGGACTTCTGGGTCCTAAAGGCAATGCTAGAAACAAGAGGATCGTTTCAAAATGATAGCTGGTTCAGGCTTCCAGAACACACAGTAAGTTTAAATGTGTACACATCTGTTAGCCTAGCCCTAGAAACTTATAACTCCAAAACTGACGGAGCTACAACTCAGTCACAGAAGTTTTAATCGCTACTGAGGGAGAGAAAAAGAATGCAAAAACATTTCTACAACATAATAACAAATCCAACCTAGTAGACATGCCAAAAGCTTTGTCCCCAGTAACAACAGAACACACATTGTTTTCAGGCATTCATAGAATGTCTATTAAAATTGACCAAATATACCCAGATGGTGAAGGGCAGCAGACTGCATGGAGCTGAAATCGGAAGGAGCACATTCTGTGTCCAACTGCAATTTAAAGTGCGGTTTGATGGCACATCCTTGTAATTCTAGTATTCTGAAGTGCTGAGGCAGGAAAGTTGCAGATTTAAGCCAAACCTTGGACAATTTAACAAGTTAGTGACCCTATCGTAAAAAAAAAAATGGGGTGGGGTGGTGTTTAAGGGGCTGTGGATGTAGTTCAGTGAGAAGGCTGCATGCAGTTCAATCCCCAGACCACAAAACATAAAAAATTTAAAAAGCAATTAAACTTTAACCCAATTATAATAAAAAGACAACCAAAAAATCCCCATGTTTTGGGAAATCAAGGGGCACATTTCTAAATAATCCACAGGTCAGAGACAGTTTCAGAATGGAAATTTGAAACCACCTTGAACTGAAAAGAAATAAAATACCAGATTTCAAATTTTGCTGGATTGTTAAAGCAATGGTAAATTTTAAATATAGCCTTGAGTTGGACATATTAGAAAAGAATAAAAGCTAAAAATTGAGCTAAAAATGTATTGCACAAAATTAGAGAAAAAAAAACAGCAAAATAGATTATTTGCAAAAACTAATACAGATGGTATAAAATGTGTGCAGAATTGCCTCTGGAGATTAAATATTAGTTAAGAAAATACAAATAAAATACACTACTCACTTTTTTCTTTACAGAAGCAATAAAATTATACTACTTAAATATTTGTTAAAAGGGACTAATTAGGTGGATTGCAACCTATATTCCAATTGGCTTTTATTCATTCTTTGAAATTAGAGTTTTAATGACATAGAAAATATTTATCATATAACATTCAATAAAAACAATATACAAAATAGAATGTTTAGTATGATCTTACCTCTTTACAATTTATGGGGAAAGCCTGGTCAAAGCTATATCAAATGTAAACACCATTATAAATTTATATTGATTTTTGAGCTATAGACTGGTAGGTGATTGTTATATATTTCTTTTTAGTTTCCAAATTTTTTGCTTCCTCAAATTTCTAAAATAATTGTTATCTTTTTTAATGCAAAAAGAAGAAATTTTTAAAAAGATACGTTCCTCTCCTACCCCTAATCTTCAGTTTCAGTAAAGTGGCAGTGTCTCTTCGTTAAGAGACGTGTAAGTGGTGAGAAGAATTGGCCTTCACGGAGGCTGTCTGGGCTGACCGTGCTGCAGGTGGCACCGGGGACCATTTTCTGTACCTTGCGTTGCTCACCAGAGGCATCCTACTTCCCTGCTTACCCACCCGCTAGTTCTTGCCTTATATGCTGAAATTGGAGAATTTTAGATTTTTGTTTGGCTTTTGCCTAAAGTTTAGGAAGTATCCCATTCCATTTTCTAGCTGTGAACAATAATACGAAGCTGAAAAATGGAATTATGAACTATCTGTGTGATTTATGAGAGATGACTTACAGATTTTATAGGATATAAAGACTTTGGAAATCTGGTCCTCTACTGCTTTAATTGGGCTGTTTGTTTAATTCTTGTATTAATGGTTATTGAAGTAGAGGTTTTATTTTGGAAATGCTTCAGACGTGTTTATATTGGTGACTGATAATTATAGAATGAAAGGAATTTGAGTTGAAGAGGTTAATTAGAAAAATTGGGATACCACACTGATCTTAAATAAATAAAAAATTTTGTTCAAAAAGGCATGTGCTCTCCTTTAAAGTTAAAATATTGATACATTTTAATAAGTCAGATAAATAATTTACTGTATCTCTTTATTTTTTTATAGGAAAAAGCAATTTCGGTATCTACTAGAAACCAAAGGGAAAAAACCTGGTATCGTCAATGAGGAAAATAATGACAGCAAAAGACTTGTAGGAGAAAACACAAATCGTGCCACACTAAATTATACCACAAGGGAATTTTACAATGAAAAGTTAGAGGTAAAATGCCATTATTCTTTGAAACCTATGGTACTATTTCCCGCACTCCGTGGGACTTTTGGGGTTGTACCTCTTGCCCGCCTTACCTTACATAGAGAACTAGGGAAGAAATAGAGCTGGGAGACGAAAGAGAGCGGTGGTCTCAGTATCTTTCCCTCAGCCAGAAAAGATGTTCAAAAAATCTGTACCAAAACTCTAGACCAAGATGGGACCAAGAGTCTTGATCTATCTGGATTAAGAAAAGAGAAGAAAGTTGTATGTGAGTACCGAACTAGCCCTTAGCAAAGCAGCAAAAGATACCACAGAATCTCCATTTTTATTACCTCGTTGTGGACTGCCAAGGTTTTAATTCATGTCTTTCATCCTACACCAAGAATGTCTGTGTTCTTAATCATACCATGTCATCTCTTTTGTTCCCAATAGAGCTACCCAAGAAACTGAAACTAATTCATTATATTTCTTTATGTGCGCAGAGATTTGTTGAGTCAGTACAGTTTTATGGTTCTGCAGGGGTGACAAAGATGCAGTTCCTACCTTGACCGGGCTCACAGGAAAGCTGAAGAAACCAATTGTCTGAAATAATCAAGAGTGTTAAGATTCTTCAAAAGGTGTTTGCAGGATGAAAGGGCAGACGCCTCGGTTGAACACCTGTGACTTACACACAAGGGACTATATGAGGAGATACACCTATGTACAGATACAGATAGAAATATCCACATTCTCCTCACACAGGTTACATCTAGTCATAGTGATTAGTAAATACAGAGTGCTAGAGGTCAACATTTCCATATATACATTTATCTCCAAAGGCAGAAATAGGGAGACATCTGTGTATCTCCTTACACAGATACATGTGTGTGTGTGTGTGTGTGTGTGTGTGTGTGTGTGTGTGTGTATGTAGGGGCATAGATAGATAGATAGATAGATAGATAGATAGATAGATAGATGGATATAGGTGGTACACATCTGTAATCCTAGCACTCAGGAGGCTAAGGCAGGAAGATCAGGAAACAACAACTTGGAAGTCAGCCTGACATACACAGTGAATTCAAGACTGCTCTGAATTACATAGCAAGACTCTAACTCAAACACACACTCATATATCTCCAATCCTTTATATTTTGCACGTATATAATTGAGAAGTGAAATGGTCAGAAAACTGGTTTTCTCATGTTTTATTTTTTAACAATTATGCAATCATGAAGCCATGCTGTAGCTAATAGCCCAGTACGGCACAGCAGAGCTGCTGTTTGCAGAGCAAACAGCAGATATAGGGCTTCAGCTGACTGTTTGTTAGCCTCTTCCTTTGTCTTGATCCCCTCCCAATCCTGAAATGTCTGGAATCTGTAGAGCTCTAAGGATTATGGCTTGAAAAATCACTTGAGAACTCAATGCAGTAATATGTTTTGTAGCATCCTAAAAGATATTCAGATTCTGCTTTAAATTCTTCCAGTGAAAGAAATGGCAAGATTTGTAACTCAGTGGTAGAGAATTGCCCAGCGTGCCTGAGACCCTGGCCTTGACCCTCAGGGCTCCCCCTAGCGTCCCCTCACACACACACAAAAGGTGAGGGAAGAAAGAAACAAAAGTCAGTGCTCTGTGAGGTAGTTATCTGTAATTGAACAACTCCAGGTGTGAAGGAATTCTTGTCCTTTTGAAGCTTGAATCTGTCTCCTAGTAACTTTCTTAGTGATTCACACTCCATATGTGTAAAGAGAAAAAACATCTTCTACACGGAACCCCTTCAAATACTTGACACCAACTCCCTGTCTCTTCTTAGCTCTCTTTGTACTTACACTTTCACTGATTCAAGAATTATACTGTGCACCTGTCGTACACACTGTAATATACTACATGTAAGAAGACATCTTTGCCCCCATGGAACTCGTCTTCCAAAGGAAGAGACAGACATGGATAGGAATAATTATAAATCAGTAAACCAAGAGAGTAGAGGGCTGGCCAAGCCAGATCAAGGGAGGCTTTCTAGAAAAGATGCTCTCTGGTATGAATCTTAAAAGGATAAAATATAGCTATATGACAAAAGGAAAGAGGTAAACAATACAATATGAATAAAACACTGAGAGGCACAGCATAGATAAGGTAATGGAACTATAAGAAAGTCTCTGTTAATGTAGAGCTGGAGGTAGACCGTGTTAAGAAGATGAAGTTGGAAAGGTAGAGGGCTTTAGCAAAGAGACCTACCCTAAGTCTTTGGCCAGTAGAGGCTTCTTGGTGATGACAGAAGAGGAACACAAAAGCCAAGCTGGCAGGACTGTGAACCCTCTTCCCGGATGCAGGTGGTTCTATGAGCCAAATAATTAATGAGCTAAATGAACGGATTTCCATGAGAGAAGTATAGAGAAATGTTAAAGAGCTGCATGGAAACCAGGGACAGTTGCACAGAGGAGTCTGCTAAGTTTTTAAGGAACAGATAGTTATAAGGATTTTAATTATTTAAGAACAGTGATGGAAGGAAAATTTTTTCTGGTTTTTCTAGATAGCATAACTTTGTTTCAAAACCCACCCGGATTGCATAGGAAAAGAAATTCAGACCATATACATAAGAACATTAGTGCAGACACCCTTTTAAAATGTCATCAAGCAAAATACAGCAGAACATTAAATGAATGACAAACATTACAGCAATGCAGTTTATTCTAGAAATGCAAGAAAGATGTAATTTAATAGACTTCAGGTTAAAAACGATCATTTCTGCATACATTGAAAAGCAATTTCATACCCCCCTCTTAATTTTTAAATTCAAATAGAGTACATAGAAATTGGGTAGTAGGTATCCTGCTTGTTGGGAATCTCTGGAAGCTCACCATTGCTTGGATGGTCCTAAAGATGGCTTCTATGTCCTCACCCCTGGTGTAGACTTAAGCATTCCATCCCCTAACCCCTCCCCTCCAGGTGAGCAACATCTGTAAATTGCTTCTCACTAGTAGAATGTGGCATGGCAAACCGAGTTTTTGCAGATGCAGTACATCCTTGCCTTAACCTTGGGGAATACATTTCAAGACCCTGGTAGATGCACGAAACCATGGATAGTACTGAGCCTGACATACTCCTTGTTTTTTCCTATGCATACATAAATACTTATAGTAATGTTTAATTTATAAACTAGGCACAGAAAGACTATCAACAATAGCTAGTCACAAAATGAATAATGTAACACTATCATAAGAATTATTCAGAAGTTATAAATTGTGTTTCTGGAATTTTCATTTAATATTTTCAGACCACAGTTTGTTATAGATAGCGGCAAAACCACAGGTAACAGGGGTCTGCGACTATGTAATTAAGATCCCTGGTTCTCTGACTGCTGAACAGGGATATTATTCTGAGTGACCCTGACTGATCTGGCAGGGCCTCTGTAAACACTTGGGCTCCCTTTGAGGGATTCCCCTATTGACCTGGAAGGAATCAGCTACCATGTTTAGAGACAGCCACATGGCAAGAAATTGAGGAATATCTAGGAGCTGGGAGCAGCCCTGGGCCAACAGCCAACAAGAAAATGGGGGCTTCCCTGTAGTCCTAGCACTACAGGGAACTGAATTGCACCAACAACCACTTGAGCTTGGAAGGAGAGCTTCCGAAAGGAACACATATTGCAGCCTTCTAAAGGTCTGAGCACAGTGGCCAGGTCCATCACACCTGGATTTCAGATGCAGAGAAACTAGGGTAGAGGGGTGTTGTTTGAAACTGCCAAGTTTGAAGTTGTTACACAATACTAAAATACTAATACATCATTGAAGTCAATATCAAGACAGCAATGCCTATGTGATAGTCAGTCACATTTCCATTGCTGTGACAAAATACTTGAGAAAATTAACTTAAGGAGGAAAAATTTATTCAGGCACTTGGTTGCCTGGCTCCACTGCATCTGGGCTTGTGATGAGGCTGGACATCATGGCAAAGAGTATGTGATCGAATAAAGCAGCAGGAAGGAGAGAAACAAGAGACAGACAGACATCCACTCCCTCTCTCCATTAGATGCCTTGTACTGCCTTGGTCTCTGCCAGCAAAACCATCATCACTGGTTGTAGCCCTCAGCCTTGAGCCTCTTGAACTGTGTACAAAAATAAACGTCTTTTCTTTAAAAGGTAACCTGTCTCAGGGGTTGGGGATATAGTTCAGTGGCACTATGCCTGCCTGGTAAACGTAAGGTCATGAGTTCAATTCCTGATTCAAAAAAAAAAAGTAGCCTGTCTCGAGGATTTCATTATAGTAGTACAGAATGGACTAACATAATAAAATAATGATAAATTGAAAGATCTATATAAATAAAACTTTAAGCAAACTTTAGCAAAGAATGCAAAAAAGACTATCATATTTTAAATAAGAACGACGTCATGCGAAAGATATCAACTTTCCTTGAGTTAGTCAAAAAATTTAATACTATCCCAATAAAAATACCAAAAATATGTTTGTTGAGACTTTTTAAAATAAGTTGGTCCCAAAGTACATTATGGAAAAAATAGCCACAAAAACTCTAAAAAAGAAGACCAATGAGAAGAAGCCTAGTACTACAGATTAAGGCATAGTATAAAGTCATATCAGTTAAGACAGAGTGATTATGAAGAGATAATCTAATGGATAAAATAGAAAATTCAAGTATACATCCAAATATAAAAGGTAATTTAGCTGGGATTTACCTTAGTGGCACAAGCACCTGCCTGGTGAGCATGAGGTCACGAGTTAGATCACTTGTATCCAAAAAAAAAAGATGATTTATCATATGATAAAAATAATCCCAAAGAAATTAGGTGGACTATCTAATAAATGTTTGGGAACTGATGAACTATTTGAGAAAAAAGAAAGAAAACCTGGGTTCGGATATCTTATACCAGTATAAATTCCCAATGAGCCAAATTTTTATGAAAGCACAAAAATTCTATAAGAAACTGCAAAATTATTTTGTAGCCTTGAGATGAGGAGAGAGAAAATAAGCAAAGACAATGAACTAGAAAAGTAAGTTTTCAACTCATATTCCCTAAATTATAAAGAACATTTAGAAATGTTTTTTTAAAAAGGGAGGGAATAACAATTGAAAGAAGATTATATTACTATTCCAAAATAAATTCAAAGTAAGATACCATTTACCATAACAGCAAACACTGAAGGAATGGATAATTAGATATGCATAAGCCCTTTATGGGGAAAATTATGAAATTTTATTGCAAATGATTGAAGAACTAAATAGTTTATTCATGAATACATGAATAAACTGTATTATAAAGATGCCTGATTTCCCTGTATTTTAAGATGTTAATTCTCGCTAAATCCATTCGCAAGTACAAGACAGTTCTAAGTAAGTTTGGACAGTTATTTGTGGAAATTTACTGGCTGTTTCTACAAGTTATATGATAGAGCAAAAGGCTGGAATAGACCAGAGTAGAGGCAAGAAGCCCTTGCCTAAGAAGCTGTAATTAATGTCAAGACGGACACAAGAGACGTGCGGGCTGGAGCTGCGCTGTGCACGGCGGGAGCTTGTGCAGATGCGGTAAGCACCGCAGTCTGTCGCTGTTCAGTAATCGACAGTGAGCAGTCAGTATCCAGCCCGAAACACATGCTGAATCCATTCGCACTCTGCAACAAAAATTAACTCCAGATCAAATAAAAACCCAGGTTTAAATAGAAAACTTTAAAGTTCTTATTTTTAAAATCAGAAAATCTTTCTGGCCTTGGTTGGGCAGGACGTGACTTTTTAACACTCCAAGGGCACAAACTGGAAAGGAAGAAAGTTTGACTAGTGTGGCAGTCAAGGTCATTGATTTTTTTTTTAAACGGAAAATGCCTCAATGGAGTCATATAAGCAAAGTCTTGATTAAAGTGATCTGATCAATCAATAAGCAATGAACAATTAAAGACAGCAAATGTTGACCCCTGTTCTGAGAAAATGCAAAGGGAAAAGAAAGGACTGACGCCACCTAACATTTCGGAAAGAATGCTGGGCTAGCAGTCCAGAGACTTGGCGCTCAGCCTCTGACTCCAGCTCATTACCTGAGAGACCCTGCCCAAGGCCCACAATCACCCTTCACTTACTCCGTGCTCCGTGCCTTGAAAACTACTTAAACCGTGCAGCGCCAATGTGCTTGCTCGCTCGCTCTCTCCTGTACGTCCTGAGTTTCAGGTACGTTCCTCCCAGGTCAGGTGACACAGACTTGTTTATGCAAGGTAAAGGTCTGTTGCTTCAAAGCACTCCATTTTTCTGACTCATCTGGGGAAAGAGGTGAGGTGGACATAAGGTCAGCACACTGACAGGGATTTTACAGAATCAAATTCTGCATGGAGATAGATGAGAAAAGTGGAAACTCAGGCAAATTACTCAGGTCATGTAGCAGATTATTGATCAAGAGCATCAGCAGCAAGGCCTTCCTCTTCCTGACCTTGGACCTTTCATAGTGTACACTGTGGTACTCTCCGAGGACTTCTGGACCGCCCAAATGCACAGAGCTCTCTGTCTCTGAATGCTGAGTCTGTTGACTGGTTGACCATTTCATTCAGCACATATTGGTCAGTTTTGTTGTCTTGTTGGCTTTTTATGAGTGTAGCCCATTTTCCAATCAGCCTGCCAGTCCCTCAAGAATGAAGTTAGAATTCTTAGCATTTTTAATGATGTCTAATCCTGAGCAAGTCTCTCGACCAAGTTTCCCATTTCTAAAATGAAAATATGTATTAAATCCTAAAACAAGTGCCATTGTAATTAAAATTGCTCCTATAACAAAGCACGCCATAGACCCATAGTTTTTCCAAACCATCTTTATAACAAACTTCTAGTTCAAAGAAATAACATAAACAGTACTGTATAGGGTCCATCTCTTCAGTATTGAAGTACTTGCTTTATGAACTGACCAATGGCCATCTTGTAAGATAAAAAGAAACAGAGATGTGAAAGCATTTGAGAATGGAAAAAGGTTAACTCGAAGAGCAGCAATTCCTTAGCAGGTCACAGCACGAGTGTAGCTCTTTGTGCTTTTGACAAGATCATCCTGGACAGGCAGGCAGTTGTCCTGGCAGACCCTGTCGAGTTGTAGGGTGCACTCTGCAGAAATGTGTAGTAATTGGTTTGGAGGAGAGGAGAAAAGAAGTAAAAATGCTTTCAAACACAATTACTAAATTAAGGGTTATTATAACAGATGTAATTCTGTATCAACATGTTCGTAGAGAAGCAATGGAAGAAGCTCTAACAGGAAAATTTTAAACTCCCAGAATTATACTGTGTCAGTTACAAAATGTTTACTGTAACTCGCATTGTGTATAAATGATTTAACAAAATGCATCATTTAAAAGTTTACTTTTGTTATCCCTAAATTATTATAAAATTCACTGATCTTCATGGGACGTTTTTCTTCCCACTAAGTATGCTTAGTGCCTCTCCTTGGATAAAGGCATTGCTTGTTGTAAACTGTTGCTTGTTCTAGTTGCTGGTCTCCCGCAGCTCACACTTGTCATCCCCTCTGGTTGTTCCAGTGGAGCCCAGGTTGAGTGGAGGTTAGAAGGGAGCAGCTAGCACTGCTTTCTTCAACAAACTCACGTAGAGCAGGTGATTGGATCCCAGGCTGTGTTTTAGGGTCAGAGAAGTGGATTTGCCAGAGAAGGAGCCAGCCAAAAGCATTTATCTGTACATATTTTCATGGTTAGGTCAACCCAGTTACCACCTGTTGCTTTGGCACATACACTACATTAAATCAGCATGCTGACCCCTGCAAGTTGAGTGAGTATTTTGATATGTGATATGTCTTGGATGTCACAAGAAATTTTCCAAAATATGCCTCTGCTAGGGAAGGAGGGCAATGGACTCATTAATTTATATTAACCAGAGAGGAATTTAAAACTTTTGTGTCTTAATGATGGCAAACAGTTGGGAAAAGAAGAAAAAAGGAGAAAACAGTTTCACAACCCAATCTTAATGATAGTTCAGTATATTTTCATAAGTGGTTCTCTGTGCATTATTTTCTAACTTTTTAATAGAAATTTCAAACATAGCTAAGTCAAAAGGGTTTTACAGAAAACACTCAAAACCTACATTGTACTATTAACATCATATCCTGTCGCACATTTGCTCTATCACATACCTTACGTCTGCCCGGCCCTCTATTCATGCATGTGTCGGTATTTTTTAAATTGATTTCAAAGTAATTGCCAATATTAGTTTGCTCCTCTCTAAGCAATTGAGCACCCATTAAGTAGGGTCCATACTCGGTACAGTTTCTTCACTGGAGGTGACATTTATGTACTGACGTATAAACCTTTGATGTGCCATGCCTGAAAATTGACAAGTATGTGCACTCATAGCTCAAGCCCTATCAAATTCCAATAGTTTTCTTTTCTACTTTATAAAGTAAGCATTTTTCTTATTGTAAATCTTAAGTGTAATTTTGATGACAATAGTTGTGATATTTTAAATTTAACTCTTTAATTCACCTTGAAATTATGGGTATTTGGATTTTGGTTAGAAATTTAAGTGGCTTCTTTTCCTAAATTGGTCTTGTTAGCATTTCTTCCTCCCTCCTTCACTGACATGGAGTACTTCTTTACAGTGTTGGTCGTCTGATGTGCTGTGTTGTTTGCCACATACATGATGACATTCTCGTGATCATGACTTGATGCTCCCCAGAAGTAATAGCCAAAATAAATATTCTTATATTAAACAAAATTTTTTTTAAAGGATAGAGATTAAATCTAGGACCTCACACCTGCTAGTCAAGTACCCCAGTCTGTACTTCTAGTCCCAACAAAACAGCTTTATTTTAGTTTTTGGAAAATCAGGCCCAAATGCTGAAATATCCTCTAGGCCAAACTTCCCCTGCTGCATTTAGAACCAAGTTTTTCATTTGCAGAGTGCCAGACCCAGAAGTAGAGAAGGGAGCACTGTTTCTTTAGAAGGCCATGTTCTGGGTCCCACACTTATGTATATTTCCTTCTCTTCCTTGTATATTTTCTCCAATTTTGTCTAAATGGCCTGGGCCACATATTTTGGTGTAATGTTCCATTATACACTTCCTATACTAAAGAGTAAATTCAGAGTATGAGTACTTAAAGTATTCTACCAATTTAAATCACCAGCGTCCATACCCTGACACATTAACCCAACAGCCATGACACTATATGTTTAGCTAACAGTATGAGCTGAACAACCTGAACTAAAATGGGAGAAATAACCGATTGCCACCCAGGATTGCAGTAAACAAACACATCTTCTAACAGAGCTGTCCAACAGAGGAGGAGCCGCTGAGAGCCATGGGCTCCCTGTGGCTGGACTCAAGCATGGCGCTCTGTCATGCATGGCTAGGAAAAATTGCCTGTTCTGGAGGGTGGGTGGGAGAGGAAAGGGTACGGAATAGATTATTTCTACTTTCTGGCTCCTCTAATGGTTACTTTGGCTTTTAGATAAGTTATGAAGTAATATGAGTCTTTCTTTTCTTAAAAAAAAAAAAAAAACAGGATATAAAAGAAAAAAAGAAATTCTGCAAGATGTACATAGAGGACCTTGTGAAGGAAGCCACAGAAATCAATATGAAGAATGAAGCTCTGCAGAAACTTTGGCCACAGATGTTCATAGAACTTGTGAGGGACGCAGTCATAGAAACCCGCAATAAGAACTCCTACATGAAGCTCTGCCTGCAGCAGATAACTGACCAAAAATAGAAATATAGTCAACTTGGGCAGTTTTATTTTTTCAAGGTTGAAAATATGCAGGTTGAACCTGCTTAAAACAAACACCCCTCTCCTACATGCCAGAAAGAGCAGTGGCAAAGCATTATTGCCTACTGTTCCAAAATTAAAAATTAAGAAGGAAAGCAGGAGAAGGGAAGATGTATGTGTTCCCTGTCTGTGTAAACCAAGCGACCTCCAGGAGCCAAAGAGGCTTGGGTGTGAGGCCGGCGTTGGCTGTGCTGGCTGGCGCCGCTGCTGGAGCCCAAAGCACACGTATCTGCTGACGGATTAGCATGAGTTGCTTCTACCTACTTTCAGCTGATAATTTTCATTTGTTTGCTTTTTTATTTATGTCATGATTTCAAAGCCAAAAAATGCTCTTTTTTATGAGTAAAGAATAAACTGAATACATTAGTTTAAAAAAGTGTGTGTTTGCTTCCTTACAGCAGTCAGCACTGTCATGTTGTTGTGTGTTGTTAGATGGATCACTTTCATGGGAGGAGGGCTCTGTTCTTCTGGGGATGCATGCCCGGCCCCATGGGAGGCCCAGGGGTCACTGTGCATGGAGGCTGTGGAAATGAGCCAGACCAGGAGGGGAAGAAGAGGCTGGCTCTTCCAGGGTCCTGGAGGAATACAGGATGCAGTCACAAGTCTGTTTCACAAACCAGCAAGTCCTTTCTGTTGTCCCCTGCTGTGTGGCTCTTTTTATAGGCGTGTATGTGAACCTGCACCTCAGAAGTCTTAAGGATACATGGGTGAAAGGCTGTAAATTTTAAAATTCCATTTGAAGATCAAACAGGTAAAGAAGCCAGTAACAGAGGTTTGGCTTTGTTTATGCTGACAAGGAGGGTGAGGACAGCCTATTAACTAGAACTGACCCCACGGTAGAAAAACAGCTTTATAGGTGAGTCAAAAGAATTCTCCAGTTTGCTGAAATTTTTGTCAGCAGAGCCACAGGATGTAGGAAAAATGAGAGAAGATATAAGACAGCCAAAAGCAAAAGAGAGCAGAAATGAAGCCACGGAGAGATGCTTGAAAGGAAGCTGAGTATTCTGCCAACCGAAGTCTTCAGAAAGATCAGTCTGAAGGTCTTTGTGTTCCAGGTTAGTAGGTGAGTGTAAGTTTTCTGAGCACAGCCCTTTAAGTCATTCTGCTTTTACCACTTACGCTGCCAATTTGCTAATCTGTGACCACCGGTCTCGGCCTGTTTTCCTCATAACGCTGCCTTCTGCATTAAGCATTAAGATTGCCTTGAGGATCAGAAGTGACAGTGAATGCAAAGCCTTTCTCATGGAGCCTGGAATGCAGTCAGTGGAGCTATTCTTCCTCTTCTTTAGGATTCAGGTTCAAATATAGGGTTGCTGTCCCAGGACACAAGGAGATGGGAACCTCGCTTGATGATCCTTCAGCCTCTCCAGATTGAAATACGGACCATTTCTCATCTGGCTGTTGAATGATGATCTCTCCTGGGGTTCACTTCTTGTTTGGTATAGGAATGAGACCCCAGCTTGAGGGTAGTGTTGAGAAGACCCCCAAGAATATTTTGCTCATAGGGTTCTAGTAGGTAGCAGAGAAGTAAGAGCCTGTGCTACGTCAAGGGTGTCGGGACTGTTGCTCACCCCGGGCTTTGCATGTGAGTGGCTGTTTAACTACTGATGTGTCCAGCTTCCTTCCTCTCTTCGCCTAACCCATCCCTGCCATGAATGCATGACCATCACGTGCGTTCTCAGCCCTCCCCAGTCGTCCTGGGAACCTGAAGAATCCAAGGTCACAGCACTCAGTGAACTGGCAGTGAGCCTGCCCAGCGCTGCTGGCTCCATCCTGACCTCCTAGTTCAAGCCTCGGCGTAGTTTCTGTTTTCTTCCTGAAACCAGACCTCTCTGCTCCTTGCCGCTTCAGTCTCTACTTCCTCGTCTGCCTCCACTGCGCCATGCTCACTTCTGCTTCTTGAATCCTTATTTCATCTGACCCCAAACTCCCATTGGCCGTGCTCTCTCACCTAGTTCTATCTTCCAAACCCTTCATTTTCTGAAGTTGCTAGGTGAAGATGGTCCCCACAGGAAAGGACCAGGGGCCCTGAGTCTACTAGCTTGTGGTCAAGGGAGGGAGGGTCCTGTGTCACAAGCAGAGTGATCTGTGAGCACATTTCCCTTTCCACTTTGGTTTCCCAGGGTTTTCGGTGAAGGAAAAGTGGTTCACACCACATTTCAGGCTAATGTGTGCCAAAGGATTACTTTCTTTCCAAAAGGGATCTCAAGTAGAAACAGAAAATTGTGATTTTCTCAAAAGCAGAAACATCCCATATCCCCCAGTTAGGATGATGCAATACCCATGTTCTGGTCAGGAGCTGGGTGGTCAAGTGTGCCGAGAGAGCTGTGGGTGATCACTAGGTGTGCTGTTGACTCTACAGCTAGCTGAGTGTTCTCCTGAGTCCAAGGATGGAACTGGGCAGAACCAGCTCCCCCTTTCCAGAGCTTTGCTCCACCAGAGGCACATGAGCCCGTGCAGCCGCAACATGCTCCTGATCTGTCCCTAACCAGGGCAGACAGTGCACTCTGATTCCTGTTCTTGCTGAACAACAATGAGCATAACAAACTCTTACACAGTTATAAATTCTTTAATATGCATCACCTCATTTAATCTCCTAATACTGTGAAACACGGGTACTGGTCATCCTGTTTGAGTGTTAGAAAACAGACACAGCAAAGTTTGAGAACTCAGGGGTGCTTCAGGCATTCAGTAGCAGATAGGATCTGACTCGTTAGGCTCAAGGATCTGGCACTTGGCATGTTTGGCATTGTCCACAGTCCATGGACTTTCCCAGTCTGCTGTTTTGCTGTTATGCTGAGACCAGCCTGGGCTGCAAAATGGGCTTAAGCCCAGTCTGAACTGCATAACGAGACGCAGTCTCAAAAATCCACAATAATGAGAATCTTTCAAATATGCCTATATGTACACATAAGGAAAAATATTAAGTATGGTACATGAACATGCAATGCGTATGAACACGTCAACAGAACTATGTGTTGAAGACAAGTATTAAAAATATAAAAATATTGGCTGGATTCACATCAATAATATATTAGGGAATCAACTTCAGGAGGGAAAAAGCAAGAATCACTGATCTAGGCAAGAAATAAGGATGGCTCAGATCAAAAAACAGGTGTCTGGAAATGGATCTTGGGTGTATTTTAGAGGAGGAGCCAACAAGATTGACTGGTAGGTTGACTGTGGGCTATGAGAGACAGGAGCCAATGGTAGTGTGTAGGTTTTCAGCTTGGGCATTTGCAAAGATCCAGTTGCCATCAACTGAGATGGGAGCAAGCTATGAATGGAGCTTGTTTTGGAAGAAAGAGTAGTGATTCCATCGTGTATGTGAAGCCAAGACAGTTATTAATATGCAATTGCAGGCAGTAAGTAGATGTGGATATCAGAGTCAAGAGTGAAAGAGAGAAATGTGAGTTAGGCTAGAATATAAAGTTTGGAGTCCTCAGGACAACCTACCAGTCAATGAAGTATTCATTGTGTTATCTTTTTCTAAATTTTATTTTGAAGGTAGTAAAATACAACAGAACCAGACAGTACAAAGCCAATCAAGACGATGCAGTGTAACTGGTACAGAACTTTACAGCAGGATACTGGGATAATAGTAATAGGTACTATAATATATCTCGTTATCCTCACAACAGTTGCCCAGTCAATTAGGTGTAGCAAAATCAAACCAAAAACAAAATATTATAAAACCAATCAAAAGAGAATATTGATTAGAGCAAAACAATCAGAACAAAGCAAAACAGTGAAAACAACATTTGCCTTCAAACAGAAGTTAGAAGAAAATCCCCCATATTTGCTATATTGCTTACAGTCATCCTCCCAAGAGATGCTCAGACCTCTGCCCCCAGTTGCTAATGGGGGCGGGGATGGGAGGCTCACCCCGCGCTGACTGGTCCTCCTCCGGCTCACGCCAGGCCGCTTACCAGGAAGGGAGGTGAACTGCTTTCTTGTTCAGCCGCCTGAGTTCCACCACGGCCAGATCTCGGGAGCCGCTGACTGGTTCTGTTGTATTAAGAGAATATGATTGTCACTATTTAAATGATAAGCTTAACCTCTCTCTTTTAATTTTGACTTATGTGAAGTTTCTCTTTTTGTATAATACATATTTGTAGTATATAATGTTTACATTCCTTGTGAGGAATTTCTAAGGTTTTTTATGTAATCATATCTTATGGTTTTCTTGATTTATTTGATTATATAGTTACACTTACTCAGAGAGTAGATAATAATTCATCTATATCTTCCTATGTTTTAATTCTATGCTTATCTATTAGCAGTAGTTTTTTGACAGACCAAAACATGTCCTGGTCATCTCTTCTGGCAGAACTGGGTTTTGTTCTCCCATCTCCTAGATTGTTTAGTCAGATATGCTTGGTGGGGAGGGAAAGGAGGAAAGGAAGGCAGGAAGAAGGGAAGGAGGGGAGGAAGATAAGGGCCTGGCTAGTTAGCAAGGCAAAATGCAGAATAGAATAAAGAGAGACTTCCCAGGAAAGTTTTAAGTTGAAGGACCAAAGTTAGTTTTCCTAACCTGCTTTTATGGGTCAGTTGGAGACAGAATGGTTGCTGTTTGCCAAGAAGGTTGGAGCCAAGTTTGAAATTCGATCATAGCAATGCGGTCAAACCCTTATTGATGGGATATTTGTTATCTTTGATCCTGATTTTCCCTTTATGTTTATGTTTTCCTGGCTCATTGTATGTGTCTTTTGTTGCAAGCTATCTCAAATCCTATATAGAAAGAGCTAAAGTGAATTCAAAGCCCTGAAGGATGAATGACTTCTAAAGAGTAAGTCCTCCTTGGGGAGTGGAATAGTTTGCAGTTTCTCTTCAAGAAACAGTGAAACTATTTACTAATTCTTATAGCAGTCCTGCTAAACCTCCAAAGTCAGATTAACTTCTCTTTGTTGATGTTGAAATATTTCATCATGCAAAAGTGCCAGAGAATAGTATCTCAAATAAATACCCTGCAACCACTACCAAGTATAACACATCTTAATATTTTCCACATTTGTTTCATATTTTTAAAATAACACATTGGAAATGGAGATGGAGCCCTGTGTACCCTGTTCCCCTTCTCTAAAGGTGCCTACTATACTGAATTTCATGTTTATTATTCATTTGTATTTTCATGTTATACCTATCTTTATGCATAAATGGATAAGGTGTTTGAGTGTTTATATTTCCCAAATTTATATAAATGATGGACTATCTTGGCCTGCATCTTTCTCACTCTATGTTATGTTTCTAAGGCTCACCCTTATTGATGGTAGTTCTTTCCTTTTCATTGCTATTTGGTAGTCATGTGAATGGCCAGTGTCCATTCTAAGGATCTGTTTGCCTGTTGGTGAGCAGCAAGAGATTTCTAATTCAAAAACTAGAACAGATGCTCTGAGTGTACCTGTTCCCATGCGTGTTTGAGGAGCACCCAATTAGTAGTGGATGTTTGGGCCTTGTGCACGTGTTGTGTTGTAGTCAGTGTTGTCATGTTGCTTTCTGAAATGACTTGTGTCAGATTCTCCCTTGAGCAGCAGGGAAAGGCTGGTTCCAGCAGCCCCATGTACTCATTAACACTTAGAACTTTCAGTTTTCCTCTCTGATGTGTGAAATTGTGTGTGTGTGTGTGTGTGTGTGTGTGTGTGTGTGTGTGTGTGTGTACTTGGTGGCTTTGGTGCAAGAGGGATTTTTTCTCCTTAAGATGAATTTTCTGTATAGGAAAACACACTTTGGCATCCACCTACTGATTTTGAAAATACGGCATTCCAGTTAAGAAATAAGGCATTGAAATCACTTTAGAAAAGTTCTTTTTGTCCATTCCCAGCCTGCCCTCTAAGCACCTATTGCTCTAATTTCCTTCTCCATTCTTCTATCTGTTCTGGAACTTCTTATAAATGGAGCCATCCTTTATATACTATTTTGTGTTTATATTCTTTTACCCAATACATTTTTTATGTATCAATAATTCATTTTTTATTACTTGGTATAAAAATAGCATAATTTATTGATCCATTTTATTGGGTTGTTTCCAACGTGGGGCTCCTTTGAATACAGACATTTTTATACAAACCTTTTATGCAGTAGAATTGCTGGGTTATAGAACAGCTATAAGTTTAGCTTTATAAGGAACTGCCATATATTTGTTTCATAGTAGTGATATAATTTTATAGAAAATCCTAATAGCTTCATATATTTGCCAACATTTGTTGTTGTTAGCTTTAAAAAAAATTTTTAAGCAATTCTCATGTGGTCACACTTAGCCATTCTGTTGTGTTTTAATTTTATTTTCCTTGATGTATAACTGCATTGGTCACAGTTTTATGTATTTGTGGTCATTTCTTCTTTTGGGAGATAAAAGTTCAAGTCTGTTGCTTGCTTTCTTAAAACTTTACTATTATGGCCATGGTGGAACCCAGGAGGCTGCACAAAGAAGCAATTCTCCCACCCTCTTGGTAAGCACCTCTCTCTAGTGGGAGCTAGGAGGAGACCCAGTCAGCTGCTCCCATGAGCCTACTGGTGTGTGGGCTGGGAACCAAACATTACCCAACCCCCACTCCCATCAGCAACTTGGGCCAAAGTTCTGAGCATCTCTTGGGAGGATGACCGTATGCAGTATAGCAAATATAGGGGATCTCGTTCTATCTTCTGTTTGAAAGCAAAATGGTTTTTTTCGTTATGATTGTTTTACTCTATTCAATATTCTCTGTCAATTAGTTTTATAATGTTCTGTCTTTGGTTTGATTTCGCTATATCTAATTGGCTAGACAACTATTGTGAAGATAATGAGATATACTGTGATAGCTATTACTGTTATCCCGGAAACCTGCTGTGAAGTTCTGTACCAATTTCACTGCATTGTCTCGATTGGCTTTGTTCTGTCTTGTTATTTCTACTAAATTTTTTTAAAAAATTTTAAGTCTTTATTATTGATTTGTATGGGTTCTTTATATGCTCTAGATATTAATAGTTAAATTTTAAATTATATTGAAGTCCAATTTTAAATTTCAGGTGCTTTTTTTATGATCTTTAAATAGTTTTCCTGCTCTAAATTTTCAGAACTATTTTATTTCAGAAACTTTATAGTTACAGCTGTCATACTCAGTCTAGTGACCCTCCTCCATGTAATGTGTGTGGTTAGTGTATAGTAGATACCAAACTTCATTTTCTTTTCCCCGTGTAAACTCACTGGTACAGCACAGTTTAGTGCTAACAGTCTTTGCTCCCAGTGAATTGCCTTGGCAATCTTTTGCTTGCTTGCTTTTTTTCGTTTTGAACATCAATATATAATTCATCAATGTATAATTGGGTCTCTCTACACTTACTAATCTTTCCCTGTTTCTATTTTTATACAAATACTGCACTTACTATATCTCTATAAAAGTCTTGAAATCTGCTAATATAACTACTTCAATTTTGTTATTCTTTTATCTTTTCTTTTCTTTTTTTTATTTTTGCAGTGGGGACTTGAACCCAGGGTCTCACATATGCTAAGCAAGTATTCTGTCGCTGAGCTACGTCCCAGCCCTGTTGTTCTTTCTAAAAGTTATTGTAGCTGTTTTCTGTCTTTGCATTACCATATAAACTTTAGAGTCAGCTTGCCCATACTTTTCTTTAAAAAGTCTTTGGGGATTTTTATTGGGATTCTGTGGGACCTATACATTAATTAGAGAAGACTTTAAACTATGCTTACCATCATGCAACATGATTTTTTTTTGGATTGTTTGGATAATTTTTTTTTGCAAAATTTTATAAATCAGTGTAAATTTTATTCTGAAATAAATGTATCCCTAAGCCTGTGCAGTGGTTTGAGTCTTAATTGCCCTTCAAAGACCCATATGCTAAAAGCCTTGTCACTACCCAGTGTCACAACTGGGAGGTGGCAGAGCGTCTAGCAGAGGAGGCCTGTGGGAGGAAGTGAAGTTACGGGGGTGTGTCCTTGTAGAGCAGGTAGGACCCCAACCTTGCTCTCCTTCTCTCTGTCTGCTTCCCCGCTACCATCACGTGAGCCGTTCTCCCTCACACACATCCCCTCCCTCAGTGGTACGCGGCCTGCCGCAGGCCGCACTGTGGTCCCCTGTGAAGCTGCACGTGTCATTTCCTGCCTTACCAGCCAAATTGGCTTATCAGGTAAGGACTGGCATGCGGAAACATGCCTGCTTCTTCCAGTCTTTGCCAAGAGCTCCCATTTTTCCCTAGCCTTCCTAGCTTGCACTATTGATACGTATTAACTACTGGGGGTAAAGGGAGCACGGCAACAATTCCTAATGTGTCGTCCTCACTGTTATGCTCCAAGCTGGCTGACAGAACAAATGTCCTCCACATCTCCTAGTCTGCCCAGAGCCACTCTCCATTCTGGTGGATCTGCCCTTTCATCCCGACCTTCAGCACCCTGGGGCTGCACCAAGGCTGCTGTGTTATTTCTTTGGCATCGAGCCTTACTCCACAAGACCCTTCTCATGTTAGGAGGACTCAGGACGGCGCCGTTCTCCAAGTGCACACTTAAATTAGGGTGGTGACTTGGGTGGACTGGCCCTTCTTTCTGCTCAGAGTCATCAGAACCCCATCATTCTCACACTTCCCAAGTTGTTACCCATTTCTTCACCCTGCATAATGAAAAGTCATATCCTTAGTGACTTCATTTCAGTCACTCAGTTATTTTTATTATAGTCTCACTGCCAAGAAAAGACAAACCACCGGTGTTTGTTCTATGAACAGAGCAGGGACAGATCACTTCCATTATCATATTAGCAGTTTTCCTTCCTGGAAACAGAGCTGATGTTCGGTTCCATCATAATCCTCTGATTCCTTCTTCTTCAGTAGTCATTAACTGAACAAATAAAGAACCTTCTGCAGCCTGAGCTTTCCCTGGGGAGGAACATTAATGAGCATCCTTCCCTCCTCCATCCACATGACTGCCAAGCTCTGATTCATACACCACACAGCCTGGCCTCACTCCAACCGTAAACATCTGCCTGTATAGACACGTGAGAGTAACTGGTCTCCGCTGTGGGTGCCAGTGACATTATACAACAGCCAACAATAACACTCCATACAGGAATCTTGGCCTTCTAGTCCAGCAAAGCATTTGGCATTAACTTTATAGCTAATTTATAAGTTCTAGATAACAGTACAGCTTGTACCAGATTCACTCTAAGGAGCACAGCACTGAGCCCCAACAATTTTGATCTCTGCTTCACCTTTAGCAGTGAAGCACATTAACTCCACACTGCAAAGAGTTCTTGATCTGCCTTGACTGTGATGTACAGCCCGTGATGGCCACAGCCCTCTGTCAGATGGTTCTGTAGTAGATAACAAACCAAGACCTGGAGGAGGAAGGCTCAGCAGTGAAGTAAACATCAAACCTTACATGCACATAATGAACTACTAGTTCCTAGGCACACTTCTGTTTTTCATCTGCTTATGTAAACCATCACGCTGGAAGATCCTATTTTCTCAGTATATTACTTTTCTCGACTTATATTTGTACTGGAGTCAGCATACTACTTATATGAATTGTATTAGTTGTATTTGAGTACAATTAATTGTGTTTATATTAATTGTGTTTCAGTATTAATCTAATGCTGTGTGAATATTAATATAAGCACTAATTTATGTTCATCACTACCTCAAAAAGCCAATGGAGGACCATCACATTGTAATGGAAACAACAGGTAACTTAAGGAAACACTCACTTAACAAATTATCGGGCATTTAAGACCAGGTACTGGGCTAGGCAAGGGTTATAAAAATGAACAGTAATTGCTGCAGCTGTGCAAATGCATAGTGAGGTGAACATTTGCTGGCAGGTGACAAGCAGCTACATTACTTCAGAGGAGCCACATTGACTCAGCCGAGAATGACAACACAGGATGGATTGATGCCTACAAATAATAACACATCCAGACTTTAGTAAAAACTGATATTAACTTATGCTCCAAATTGTGGGATACAAATCAAAATGATCTCAAAAGTACTTTTAAGGTGAGTAGGGTAGTGCATACCTGTAATCCCAGGCAGGAGGGTCACAAATTTGAGTCATCCTTGGCCATTTAATAACTTAATAAGACCCTGTCCCAAAATAAAAAATAAAACGGACTGGGGAAGTAGCTCAGTGGTAGAGCACCTCTGGGTCCAGTTCCTAGTACCAAGGGGAAAGTTACTTATTGTTTGTAGTATCGAAGATTGAACTCAGGGCCTTCACATGTAGAACACATGCCTGCTCATTCAGACCAGGTCCACAAGTGGTCTGGAGACAAGGGTTGAGAAACTCACATAAGCTTATGTTTTTGTTCTTGGCTTTAATATTCCCCTCTATTGGTAGGGAGAGATTTGGTTGAGTTGAGTGGACTTTCCTAGCTCTTGAGATGGTATTTGATTATACGGGGAATCAGACCCAAGTCAATCCATGTATAAAATTCCTTGGACATCATAACTGGCTTACTGAGTTCCAATCAGAGAGAAGAGTGGGCTGTGTGTGTGTGTATGTGTGGTGGGGAGCACATCCTGCTTGAAGGAAACCAACCCACACCCAGCAGGTAAGAGCCAACAAGGATAAAAGGTACCTGGACTGACCATGCTTGAAGGTACTTTCTCTCTGCAGTTTGAGGTCTGGGGCCACAGTGGGGCAGACACTGATGCTGGGGTCTGGAATCTTCTATGGTTGACACTGGCTACCAGCCGGGTCTATCACCGGGTACACTTGCACATTGCTTCTTCAAGTATCTGTGTGGGCTTCCCCAGAGCGTGGTGACTGGGATCCAGGAGCAAGCAAACATCCTACTCTCAATCACCACTATGTTTTTTATATAACCTCAGAAGTCGTATCATCTCCTTTAGATCCAATAGGGAATAGGCCCAGGTCTCAAAGAGAGCATCCCAGGCATATGGTCCAAAGAGCAAAGGAAATGGGAAACACTGTGTGCCTGTTTGCCATAGATACTGTGCTGTCTCTTGTCCCCATGGCCTTGGGCATTCTGTAATATTTCTTTCTCCTTTATCACTTGACTGAATCACACTCAGCCTGATCTAGGTGGGGAGTCTTCATCAGCACATCGCAGCACCTTGGACTTCTTTCTCAGGGTTTACTTACAATTTCCTGATTCCCCATTTGTCTCCTCTTCTAGTCTTACAGCATCTGCATCTCCCACATGTAGCACAGTACCGTTTCTGGAATAAATCCTACAGCTGGGCCTGGAGAATTGGAGTTTTATTTAAATATGATTCTTATTTCAGAGGCAGTTCTCCACCTCTGGTTTTTAACATCCTTACATCCTGAAGTTAGTTTTGGAGCCCTCTGCACAGACATCGCTATGTACCTTCCAGATGAAAAGTGCAGACTTTTATAAAGCAGCCATCGAAGAATAGTCTCAGCTCTGCCATGTGGCCCTCCCTGGAAACCAACTGTTCGCTTGTGTCACAGCGAATCGAGTGGAAAGGGAAAAAACACATAATTCTGATACCAGTGATAAGAAGTGAGGCCTCACAAATGGTAATCATTAAGTATGATGAAAGTGTCCTAAAAATCAAGAAAAGAACAAAATGTAAAGAACATGTTACAAAATGCTGAAAATGCATCATCAAATAATCTAAAAACAGGGTGTTGCTGGGGATTGTGGCCATTTTCCTTCTTTTTTTCCATCTCTCAGACTGAGAATATATATATATATATATATATATATATATATATATATAGTTTAACTTTTGATTTCTTAGCCCTTTTATGGGAACACATTGTACAGTAAAAGAAAGAACCACATTTACTAAGTAACATGGGAAACTTATAATTACTGTACTTCAGCTCCACGGGTCAAGTTTGACAGCAATCCAGCATCCCACTTGTGTTGACTGTAGCGGCCACAGGATATGTGGCCCTGGATGAAGACTTTACTGTGTCTAATGGAAGCAGAGGGTCATACAAGGTTTAGGTTTGGCAAGAGGTCTTCTAAAATGTAAGCAAATACCTACTGTAACTACTATGGAAAATGTTTCTCAAAGCATGGCTTGGAGTTTCCCACCTCAGAAATGCTACCAGCACGTTTGCAGTTCACTTGCCTGCCTCGACACTTCCCTCTAAATGTCTGCATTCAGCTGCAGAGGACTCTTCTGCCTACCAAGTTTGGAACTAGTGCTTTGGTAGAGCCACGAGCCCTTTGGCATCCATTTTGGTCTGACCAAACTTTGACTTTGGTCAGACTCTAAATGATATAAAGCCCTCAAAACATGAAGATATGCTTTTTTAACAAGAGGAGTACAAAGACATTTTTTCTTTTTTGCAATTGGCTTTGAAAATCTGACTTTGCACATTTTCAAATGTCCATGGCTTGCCTGTTCGTTTCTCCCTGAGTTGAAAGTGAGCCAGCAGATGGGGCCGGCCATTCTTCCTGCTGGGTTCTGTGAGGCACTTGTCATGTGGTCTAGCTAAATACAAAAGTGAACAAGGGAAAGAGGCAGGTGGCCAGCAGCAAGGCATTTTGTAAGGTTGTAACACAGTTTGGAGGTTTTGAGTACGCCTCCCTGACAGAGATGGACACAGTGATGGGACAGGACTGAGCATCCATCTGAGAGGCAAGTGAGACCATCGCTGTTCATTGAAGTCCAGCACTGGATATCAGAACACAGAAATATGTGGCACCCTTCCATACAGGGAGTGAGGTGTAGTCCTGGAACTTACCGTCACTGTACAATGGCCAACAAGAGGGACCTGAAGACAAAGCAGCCAACCATGAAGAGCTTACTTAGCGACACCTGATAGAATCCAGTAAGTCAGAAAATGGAAGGAAATATGCACCTACTTACCTAGTCTGTATCCAGGTAAGGGATCTGAGTTCAGTTAAAACTACTCAGATTTGCGGTTGATTCAGTCAGCAGATCTGCGCCTTGTCCAGTGTAGGAGAGAAAGTGTGTGAGCATCTCCCTCATTTCTTTCCTCCTTCCCTCTCTCTGCGTTGCTCCCAGCTCCTCATATCTTGCTGCAAGTCCTCTCTCAGCGTCAACCATTGTCTTTCTGTCTTCCCAACCTTTACTTTTGGGCCCAGATTTCCCCAGAATCCTCTTGCTGTTATTTTTTCCCTATCCCCTGAGGGGTTTCTCTCCCACCCACTTTTTCTCTCCAAAACACACATCTTTCTTCTCATTCTGTTATTCTCTCAAAAGCTACCAAACATTTCAAAACCATTATGAGGAGAACACTCAAGAAGAAGATCGGGAAAGTTTTCCAGTTGGAGGAAGAGCATGTCTCTGATTAAACTCACATGATCACCTGTCACTCTGCACCCTTCTTACGTTTTGGTATCTCTTTTCCATGCTAGCCTTGAACTTCAGTCAATGTCATTGTTTTTGTCTGTTTGTGTTTGAGTATCTCCAATTTTAGTTTCTCAGTCTTTGCACCTATGTCAGTCGATCTTCCTGTCACTGGAGGAAAAAAAATACCTAGCACCCACAAATTAAAGGAGAAAAGGTTTATTTTGGTTCATGACTTCAGAGAAGTCAGTCCATAGTAGACTGGCTCCACGGTGGTAGGGCCTGACAGAGTACAGCTGCTCTCTGTTCTCTGCTCTCTGCATGACAACCAGGAAACATAGATAAAGGAGCAAGGGACAACACTACACCCTTCCAAGTCACATCCCCAGTGACCCACCTCCAATCATGCCCCACCTCCTAAGCACAAAGACAACTAACTGTGGACCCATCAGTGGCTTCATTCACTAATTCCAATAGCTCCCCAGTGCTCCATCCACTTTCAAAAAGCCCGCCTCTGAATACATGACACTTTTCAGGGATAGTCTAGATCTAAACCAAAACAGTGGCTCAGTCTTTGGAGACTCCATGAATATTTTCTTTTAATCCCTGTTTTCACAGTGTATCTCTAGAACTTACTGCAGTGGTATTCTGTGGACAAGGAGGTAATGAGCCTTGGCAGAAGTTTCACCTATCTCCTTTCATACACATCCTCCCAAGCCTACTATTTAACACTACTGTGTAGGGAAAGAGACCAGAACTTTTCACAGAACAGATGACGCCCTGTGTGGGAAGGAAAAAAGAATCAGAGGAAGCCTGGAATATCCTGTTGTTACCAGAAAGTAAGAGCTTATTTTTTAAAAATTTGGGGGCAAAATCAAAGGATCTTCTGTAAGGCTTCCACTGACTCAGCTGTGACGGTTAGAGCCATTGTTCTATATTGTTCTTATAATGGGTACATGAAGCAAATTGAGTCTTACAAGGGCCATGGATTCATAATTATACCCAGAAAAGAAAATGAATGCAATTACTACTAAAATATGGTTGTAACTAAAAATGGGTAATTAATTATGGATATATTTCTTGTTAATGGACTTTAATAAGTGGGCATTATTTTTACATGGCTATTTTTATTTCTCTCACTAAATTTCTATTTCATAAAAATGTGACTATATACACATGTATTTGTTTCTGAGGAAAAATAAGGAATCAAATAAATGAATAACCTAAAATAATAACAGAAACTCTGTCAGAAAGGAAAAAGACTGGTTTGGTCAGTAGTAGGACAAACACAATAATTGTGGTGAACATGGGTTCTAACAATAGGGATCAGTGACTATGCAAAATTACAAGTAAAGATTCCACAGGGTTGTCTTAGTCCATGTGGGCTGCTCTAACAAAATACCATGAGCCAAGTGGCTTATAAAAATACCCATTTTATTTATTTCACATAATTTTGGATCAGGGAACACCAAACTCAAGGTACAGGCAGATTTAGTGTCTGGTGAGAACCCATTCCCCAAAGACAGCTGCCTTCTTTCTGTGCCCTCACATATAGTAAGGACAAAAAAAGCCCTCTGGGGTCTTTTCCAAGGGCACTATTCCCATTCGCGGGGGCAGTTATGACCTAATCCCCTCCCGAGGGCCGGACTTCTAATTGTATCACCTTGGGCACCAGGCTGTCAGCATATGAGCTGGGAAAAGAGAATGGAAACATTCAGCCCACAGCAAGAGTCTTCCAAAAAGAATGAATTAGCCAAATGCACCAGAGTGAAGGAGTATACTCCACCAACCCAATGTCGGATCACACAGGAAATGAGAGTATCAGATGACCCTGCTTGTTTTAATAAAACACCAACACAGAATACATGATTCTGTAAAAAGGTAACGGACCAAGTCAGTATAGCATACTGATAGGACACAGGGTTCTATAACTTTGACAAAGTGGGGCTTTAAAAGTACATCACTTCCAGACAGACACCAGGTTTTAAAATATAATAATACCTAAGTAAAAGTGTGACCTTTGGGAACGATATTGGTGGTAGAGCAATCACCTGGCCTGATGGCAACTCATCCGCCTCACCTGAAAAGGGATCCGCTAGGAATCCAGACCCTGCAGCCTTGCAAGGCTGAGCACATACACTTTTTCCTTTGGGGTCTGGTAATGTTACTCCACCCCTGGGAAGACATATAAATATATTACTGAAATTCTAGGAAGATATTAAAATAAGTATACTAATATCCCCCAGGAAGGTATAAAACAAGCACATAAATTATGAAAGAAATGAATAAGTCCATTGTTCTGAAGTTTTAGGATAGGTTGAAATGTGAGTATAATAATAAGCTTTGTAGTCATCACATTCCTGAACATTTTATATTTTAAGTGCTCAAAAAATCAGCCATAGTGAATTTATAATCATCTTTCAAATGACTTGAGGGAATTTAATCCAATTAAAGTCATTTTAAATTAATAAAATAACTTGTTAACATTATATAGATACATATATGTGAGTTAAACAATTTGAGCATTCAACAAAATACAATTTTCAATTCCTGATAAGAAATTTGAGAGACCTGGTCTATGAAGTCAAAATGAACCCAGAGGAAATGAGACACAACAACAAACCCTTTATTGTGCACTAGACTCTCTTAGGATTTAACTGAGTGTGACAATCAGGGGTCCTCTGCAGGAGCAGATCTTGGCACCACTGTCTTTAAAAATGCTCCTTGATCCGTTCCAATGTGCAGCCAGGAGCAAGGAACTACAAGAGAGAGGGAAGGCACCGCAGTTGGAGAAAGTCACATAAAACCTGCAAGGTGTCCAGAGGAGAGCGGGACTGCTGTGAGCTGGCGCAGCAGCCAGTGGCCCTCTGCAGTTAGGACCTGGGGGCAGTAGGTGCCTCCTGGAAGGCAAATAAAATAGTGCTCTTCCCTCTTCCCTCTTCCCTTCATGGTGATGCGGGCGCCCTTAACCTCCTCACTGCTGCAGAATAGACATTAGCAAGAGCAGTTCAGATGCCAGGTGTGTGCCGGGAGCAGAGAGGACCTGAATGGCTGCAGGGTGGGGAGAATCTCAGGGCCGTGTGTGGACGCTGCCAGTTGAGAATCTGGCAAGAACATGTGTGACTATCAGTTTCCCATAAAGCGTTCGCTTCCTCATTCCTCACCTCCTCTTCTCTCCCAGAGGTAACCCACTCCTCTCCTACAGTGTGGGGAGAGGCTGAATGGAGGCGAGGCTGGAGATGCAGCAGGTGTGTGGGTTCTGTGTTGTGCAGTGTCTTAATTCCTGAACTCCTCTCCCAAACTAGCCCCTAAGCAGTTCTAAAGGCTGATGTCACACAGGGACATTCTCTGCCTGTAGTGCAGTCATATTAGAAATAAGTTACAGAACAACTACTAGGAGACACTTCACCGTGGGTCCCTGGTGTTTCTGTACAGCTTCTGAGCAAAATTCCGGCCAGCTTTGGTTCTGATAGCCTTGGAAAATAAAGATAGTCTGTTCTTCCGGGGCACAGGGCTGGTGTACTTGCTCCAGTACAATGAAGAAGATAGATCCTCCTGGGAAAAACTGGTGGGCTAGCTCACAGCCCGTTATAAAAGACTCCATACGTTCGGGGTCCTAAAAACATGACTCAGACTCACCTACAGCACTCTCCTGCACCGACAGAGGCAGGCAAAAGGTAAGCTAGGAGCAAATGAAGTGATTAAGTCCTTTGTCTCTGTTCCAGGAATCTCGTCTTCTGCAAGCCTTTTTGAAAAAGTACCTGGCTACTTCATTAATTGGCAATAGGACAAAATCCACTGCTCTTCACAGTTTGTTTGCTTATTTTCTTACAGTACTGGAGATTGATGCCATAGCTTTTGCACTGACTACATCTCCAACCCTTCTTTATTTTTTTTAATTTTGAGATAGGGTCTCCCTAAGCTATTGAACTGCCAAGTCTAGCCTTAAACTCACAATCATCCTGCTTCAGCCTCCTAGAGTGCTAGGATTACAGGTGTTTGTCATTGTTCCTGGCATCACATCTTTGATAATAATTTTTTAAAATTCCAAAAGTCTAGGTATGGCTGTGGCGCCCCAGGGGGAAAACAACCAGAGACTCCTGAGATGGTTGGAACTTAAGGTGCTGGGAAACCAAACAACCAGCTCGCCCCCTGGTAAGCAGCTGTGGCTTGGCAAGCTGCAGCCACCTCAAGGGGAAAACCACCAGTATCTCCTGAGATCCACACCATGTTGGAACTTAGGGTACTGAGAAACCAAGCAACCAGCCTGCCTCCCTGTTAGGCGGTAGTGAGCCTACGGGGGCATGGGCTGAGAATCAAACATCCCATCCCCCCCCCGCCCCATTAGCAAATGGGAGCATCTCTTGGGAGGTTGACTGTATGCAATATAGCAAATATGGGGGTTTCCTTCTACCATCTCTTTGAAGGCAAATATTGTTATCACTGTTTTGCTTTGTTCTGATTAATTGTATTGCTCTATTCAGTATTCTGTTTTGATAAGTACTATAATGTTCTGTATTTCATTTTATTTTGCTATACCTGATTGAAAGAACAACTATTGTGAAGATAACGAGATATACTGTAGTACCTATTGCTGTTATCTCAGTAAGCTGCTGTGAAGTTCTGTGCCAATTTCACTGCACTGTCTCAGTTGGCTTTGTTCCATCTTCTTCTGTTGTATTTTACTACCTTCAAAACAATAAAAATTTTTTTTTAAAAGTCTAGGTATGAAGTGACATACAATGAGATATTCTTTAGATTAAATAAAGAGTCATGAAGACATCAGAGAAAGCACTTTACCTTAAAATTTATGGACACAGCTAAAGCAATATTTCGAGATAAATTTATAAATTTAAGCAAATGTATCTGAAATCAAGAAAGATTGAAAGTTAGTGTGAGCTACGTGTTTAATTTATGATGAAAGAAAAAAACTAGGGCAACTAAAAAATACAGAAAATAGGGCAGAAATCAAAGCAAAGAACAAGGAAAACAATAATACAGCATGTAAATTTAACAAATCTTCATGAAGGTCAACAAAACTAAAAGTTGGTTTATAAAAAGATAAAATCATCTTCTGGGAAGACTGTCCAAGGTAAGAGAAAAATATAAATAAAAGTGTAAAACAATAAGAGGGATTATGTCAGATGTGTAAGAAACTTTTAAAAATAAGAGAAGAATATTGTGAATAATTACATGTTAATGCCCTGGAAAGATTAGGTGGACTTTGTCCTTGACAGTGGCATTTAAGTGACTGAACAACAGGTACAGAACAAGCACTGCCGAAGCACACTGAAGCCCTGACCTACCAGGAAGGCTGCTGCCAGAGGGCACACTGCGTGCCCTGCTGAGGGACGAGGCACAGTGCTTGGCTGCAAAACAAGGGTCAGTGTGCCGAAAGACAGAAGTATCAAATAGACAAGCACACGCTGAGGACGTGCCGTGCTCCTCACACTCTCCCCTTTCCAAAATATTGCAGTCCAGAATGTTTCCAGGTGCAGCTTTTCTGGGATAAAAGTTGCAGAAACTCAATGGAATTGAATCAACTGGCTTTGTGGGTGTGAGCAGAAAATATTAATCATTAAAGTAATCCATGGTTCTCTACAATAGGCAGCATATCTGTGATATTCAAATTTTATGATGGAGGTATTAGCTAAAAAAAAATACAAACACATTCCAGGGAATGGGAAAGAACATAATAAAAAGCTAATCTTATTCCAGAAAATAGAAACAGAGAAAAATCTCCTCGAGCACATTTTAACATTTTATGAGGCCTTGAGTAAAACTGAGTAAGAAAAATACACACATATATGTGAATTTTTCTTCTTTTTTATCGATACCAGGGATATATATGTGAATATTTATACACCCCTATATACAAACATACATATATTTTTACATGCATAAACGAAATTCACCTCTTTATAAACAAATCATTTTATAAGAATAAAAATCTTCATAAATATTAATAAATGACTCTGAAAGAATAAGTATTAAAAATACATCCTGGAGGAGCCAAATATGCCAGCATTTGGAAGGCTGAGGCAAGAGGACCGCTATCAGTTTGTGGCCAGCCTGGGCTACATAGTGAGTTCAAGGTCATCCTGGATTATGTAGGGAGACCTTGTCTCAAAAATAAATAAATATAAGAAAAGCCTAAAATAGAAAATCATGGAATATGATTTTTTTTCCTACCCTAAACAATGAGAAAAACTGGAAAAATATGTAAAACTAGAAAAAATATTTTAGAGTAATACATAACAGTGAGATCAAGACTATGATTGGAAGGCAAAGAGAAGCAGATGAAAGGGTCCATGCATCCATGCAGGCTGCGGCTTCCTGGCTGGAGCTGCAGTGTGTACAGAACTGGGCAGGAGCCCCAAGCAAACACAGGTGTCTCCGAGTCCGGGAGTAGAGTGTGTTCAGGCAGTCAGCAGTAGCTGGAGGGGTGGGGTGGGGGCCAGGGAAGGGAAACACATCTCCATCCTTTGGTAGATGCTGAGCCGTGTAGACAGAATGAAATGCTTTAAGATGCTCGTGTGTGTGTGTGTGTGTGTGTGTGTGTGTGTGTGTGTGTGTGTATTCAGCCATCAATGTCTCTGGCTCTGCCTCCATGCATCAGCCAACCACAGATAGAAAATATTCAGGAAAAAAATCTGTGTCTGCACAGAACAGGTGCATCCTTTTTTTCTTGTCATTATTTCATTTAACAACTACTGACGTAGCAATTACGTATTTGACAGTATAAATAATGCAGGGATGACTTAACATACAGGACAGGACATGCATATGTTGAATGCATGTACTGTATCATTTTATGTCATAGGTTTACATAGCTTTGAAATTGGGTATTCATTAAAGATCCTGGGCTCTCTCTGCCCCATGCCTACCCAGTGAGTGCTGAGGGACACCTATATACATATATATATATATATACAAATACATATGTTATGTTTTGTGTCTGGATGCCCCCCTAAAGCCCCACGCAGTTGTGGGGGGGTGAGTTGTTTGGAGGCAGCTGGATCAAGAGTTTGTGATTGATTCATGGGCTAGTGCTGGGATTAGAGTGTGAGCACTACACCTGCCCTAGAATAGGTCACCTACATACAATATAAGGGACAGAAAGAGGCTTGCCCCACCCTCTGCTCTTGGTGCATTTGCTATTTTCTGCTTCCATGAACTGTTGCCCCTCTACCATACAACCCTGCCTTAGAGACAGCTGATTAAAGACTGAAACCTCTACAAACTGTGAACTAGCAAGCAGGCAGTCGTGAGTTCGATCCCTGGTACCGATAAAAAGGAAAAAGACAAAAAAAAAAAAAAAAAAAAAAACTGTGAACTAAATAAGCCTTTCCCCCTTTAATTTGTGGGTGTTGGGCATTTTGTCACAGCAATGAGAAAAGTCACTAAGACAGACTTTGGTGCCAGAGAAATGAAGCTGTTGCTGTGACTATATCTAACCATGTGGTTCAGAAGCATTTGGGACTGGCTTATGGGAAGAGTTTGGAAAGGTTTGGAGGTACTGGCTGAAGAAGTAGAGCTGGAACACCTAGCTGTACTATATGGGAGATTCTAGTAAGAGCTCAGAGGACCAGAAGACTGATAGAAATCCTGTGAGTAAAGACCAGGCTCAGGAGGTTTCTGCTGGGAAGGACTGCCTTGGCTGTTAGACTCCAGATGATGTGTGTTATGGCTTGGCAGAAAGTTTTTCTGCATTTTTCTCATGTCCAGAGACTTCACTTGAGGCTGAGATTAAGGGCAGCAGGCTAATTAATCTGGTGAAAGAAATTTCAAGGCTGTCTAATATTGAGGCAGTGGCTTGGCTACTGTTGGGAGTTTTTAGCCAGATTTACATCAAAAGCAAAGAGTCCAGCAGAAGTATTTAAAATGTTGTGAGTTTGGTCAGAAAGGAAGCTCTAGTGAAGCTATGGACTTCAAATATAGAGCAGAGGGGATCTTCATTGCTGAGAAGAAACAGGAGAACAGAAAGCATGACTAGAGGGGATCACAAGAAGCAGCACGACTCCACCCTTTGCAGCCTCAAAATTACAAAAGTGAAAGACTTTGCTTCGGAAAGAAAGCCCCAGTGCACCGTGTTCCAGAATGGCAGCAGCATGGTGAATTTGTTCTTCAGGATTGATTTCAGAGTGCTCAGCAATCCAGATACTCAACCCCTACAACCAAGAGAGATGGAAACTTCACTACTGCTCCAGCTGGCAGCAGACCTTGGCATAATCCACATGGCGCTGTTTTAGGTTTCGCAGATTGCAAGAGTGACAGAATCAGGAAGACTTCTACTTAGGGACCTGTAATTTTTAGCAATGATGAAGCTATCAGAACTTTGGCAACTCTTGCAGATGGACTAAATGCCTTTTGAATAAAGGAATGTACGTGAGTCTTTAGGGGTAGGAGTGGAATGTTTGTGTCTGGATGTCCCCCTGAAGCCTCATGCAGTCATGGCAGGTGGGTTTTTCAAAGGTGGCTGAACCTAAAGTTTGATATAGATTCATGTCCAATGCTGGGATTAAGGGTGTGAGTGCTAGACTCGCCCTACGGTGGGTAGCCTACATACAATATAAGCGATGGAAAGAGGCTTGTTCTCCCAGCTCCCCATTTTTCTCTGTCTCTCTCTCCCCTCTCCTTCCCTCTTGTTGCTTGTGCTGTTTTCTGCCAGAAATGGTTGCCCCTCTGTCATGTGCCACCCTGCCTGGAGCCAGCATCAGACTGAGACCTCTGCAAACTGTGAGCTAAATAAACCCTTCCTCCTTTTATTTTACACTGGGAATTGAACTCAGGACCTTGCATTTGCCAGGCAGGCGCTATGCCACTAAGCTATATTCCTGGCGCAAACCTTTCCTCCTTTAACTTGTGGGTATTGGGTATTTTGTCTCAGCAACAAGAAAAGTAAGACAGCATAGATATTTTTGCAATGTGCTCTGTGGTAAGAGAGCTCTTCTCTATAAAATCTGAATCAACTGCTATTTAAAACCATTATAACTAATAAGCCCTCAATGGCAAAAAAAACTTGCAAAAATATTTGACTAATTCAAAAGAAGTTAATAAAACAAGAAAAGGCCCAAAAATAATAAATGAGGTAAAGGGAAATCAAACAGGAAAGTGGAACCATGTAACTAATGGCATTAGATGGACAGAAAATAGTGCAAACACCAGATTAAAAAGGCAGAAATTGTTACATTGGAAAAAACAACATCTAACGTTATGCTACCTAAAAGCAATCCACTTCGAATGTAGACATACTATAGATCAAGAACAAAAGAAAGGGAAAAGTACATCAAGAAAATACTGCTCAAAATAAAGTTAAGGTAGATCTTCTAATACCAGACAAAGTAGATTTCAGAACAGATAATATTGGCAAGGACAAAAGGGAGCGTTTCATAATTTTAAAAGACATAATAGTTCTTGGCATTGGTATAAAGAACAGTTGATCAAAATGTATAAGGTGAAATCAAATTGACCAGAAAAGAGACATTGGCAGATTTACACTTAAGTGAAAGTTTCTCAAGTCCTACAATAATTGATAGAACAAGTCAAAACTTATAGTCCAGAAGACTTGAGAAACATAATAAACATCATAAATCAAACCATTTATATATTAGCATCTATGGAGAGCTCCACCCAATTACATAATACACATTCTTTTCAAGTTTACAGGGAATATGTATCGATAGACAATACTTTCTGATACTAAAAAAGTTTTCTTAAATTGAAAACAATTCAACTCACTCAAAGTATATTCTGTGACTACTAAAATAATGCTTAGAAGAAAAATAGAGAGGTCTCAAATTAATAGCTTTACTTTTCACCTTAAGTGGAAAAAAGAGGGATAAATTAAAAACTTCAGAATTAATGGAAAACAAAACTTTTTTTAATCATAAAATTGACAAATTACTAGTCAGACTGAGACAGAAAGGAGACACAATTTAGCAATGTCAAGCAGCAGAGGGAGGCATAATGACAGTTTCTACAGACATTAGCAAGGATAAGAAGGACATAGTGTGAACAGTTCTACACACATAAATTCAACAACCTAAATGAAATGAACCAATTGATTAGAATATGTGACTACCAAAGCTCACTGAAGAAGAAATAGCTTAACCAAATATATCCTGTACCCAGTAAAATAACTGGACTTTTCCTTACAATCCTTATGACAAAGAGAAACCTCAGGATTAACTGGCACTAGTAAGTTCTATCAAATTTTTAAGAAAGAAATAATACTAACTCCACACAAATTCTTCCAGAAAATTGAAGAGAAAATACTTTCCCACTCATTCTCAAGTCTAACATGGCTCTGATACCAAAACCAAGAACATTATAAGCAAGAAAATTTCAGCCCCCGAAAATCCTTTACAAAATTAGGCACAGAAATTCTGCACAGTATTTCAGTGAATCAAATCCAAAGATTTGACCACGTTCGTTTCATCCCTGAGTATAAGGTTAGAGTAACTTTTGAAAACTCAGTCAACCTAACTCACCCCACTAGGGATGAGAGAAAAAAACCAGATGAGCCTCTGTGCAGACCCAAAAAAGTCTGGGTCTGCCATTCTCAGCCTCCCCGGAGGCCCACATACAGGCAGGCACGTGGCAGGGGAAGGGATCTACACAGCCGTGCAAGTGACAATGAGCCCAAGTCACTTCCTCCAAGACATCCAGGTCCCTTCTGGGTTCCTGCCCCTGGACTGGCCACACCATCAGTAAGTGTGACAGGGTTAGCAGCTGATGGACACTCAGGAGACCTGCTCCATGTGCTGCTGGCCCAGCCACAATTATCTCCCACCTCACCTCACTTTAGGATAAACTGATGCTTGACTCATCGCTCAGGCTGAGCTAATAGGATTTCTGATGGCCAGCTACTTCTCCCCACCTCCCTCGTGACTAGGACTGACACCCCCATCCGCCATCAAGATACCCCTTACTCCCTCCTGATGGCCGAGTCTTCATTTCAGGGCTTTTCTCTGGTGGGTAAATAGTGTTTACCATTCCGCCCACCCCACCCTTTTCATTCTGTTCAATCTGTGCCATCCTGGATGGATTACAAAAGGGAATTTATGTTTCATTTAGATAGTCTTAACTAGTGCCAGTAGCTTCCTCCTTGGACTCTCAAATCACTTGTAATTTTCCTCAGAATAATGGCCATACTTTAATATTTTCACCACGTTCTCTAACTAAAGTTTATTGTTAACATAGTTTCTTCAAAGAGAAGAGGGAGCCTGCTGGCAAGATTGTGGAAGAGGCCTGCTGTTTTGCATTAGAAACCTTAGATGTACCATTTGACTTTGTAAATTGCATGCATGTCATTCTTGGGAGAAAATGAAGCTAAATCGAAAAGCAAAGGAAAAGACCTAGTATGCTTGCTGCCCCTCCTGCTCCAGGCCAGAAGCCAGCATCCCTGATCCACGGTGCTGTCCCTGACCAACCCCCTCGGGACAGTTCTGCAGGTGGGCACTGCCACTCAGAGCTATGCACGACCAAGTTTCCTTTCCTGGTCTTATCTATGGGTTCTGCAAACAGGCTTCCATCTTGCTTTTCTGGCTATGAACATCTTGCAGATGATTCCGGATTTCAGCCCACCAGCTTTCTGCATCACAGCCTCAGGTGTACACAACTCCCAAATAAGACGCACCTCACCGCCAAGGAAACTTCTGCAGCCACGCTGGGTCTCTGCTCCTTAGGGGAGGGAGGTCACACAGTCGCAGGACACAAGAGGACACTCATTTCAAAAACTGCCACAGGCCAGACCTGGAGAAACACTTCGGGAACAGTGGTGCTGCTGACGGCTTTGGTGATCTTCAGTCCTCTCTGTTGAAGGAAGGGACCGCCATGATTTCTTCCCTAAGAGGGTCACCACATCTCACAGCGGTGGGTACTCTGGCTTGGCAGGCTTTGACCAGGTAGCAATGTTGCATTATACTGTATCCAGTGGTAGGTGTGGCACAGGACGTAAGAACAGCAGGGCTGGTACCTCCGCACCCTCCTGTCAGGGAGAACACTGGCACCTTTTAAATCCTTCCCTTGCAGAGCAGTCTCAGCAACAGAGCAATCATTCATGTCAACACAAATAGGCCTCATAAAGTTCAAAATCAAAGTCCCTCTGACAGTTTTCTCACCCATAAAACAAGGAGGCTAGACCAGATAATCTCCACAGGGCTCCCCCTCTCTCATATCCTGTGCCTTTACGACTTCAGTCAACAGTGTAAAACAAGAGTGGGAAGTAAAACCTTTCCCCTACAACAGTGCACAGTTACCAGAAAGTCAACAGGCGTTTCCAAAAAGAGAGGAGATTTGAAAGGGAAGAAGCCCAAGTGAATTCTGATTCATGGACAGAACGAGAGCGTGCTTGTAAAATGTCTCACCACCTGTGCGCCTTCCAGCTAGCCCTGGGTAGTTTGCAGACTGGGTGATAGCTGGCTTTGATAAGAGTCTTTCTTGGTTAATGGATTGTCATGTTTGCCAAAGGTTGGAAGAAAACGGAGCCAGGAGCTAAAGGCCGGAAGTGCCCACACCTACCTTACATATCCAGGCTCTGGGTGTTGGCATTTTCTACTACTTTGTAAGACAGTGTAACTTTAACTCGACTTCTCTGTCTTCTGTCACTGTGAAATACCACCTGTCCATGGCGATGGAATCTGTGCGTGTGTGTGTGCGTGCACACACACACATGTGCACGCATGTTGCTGAGAATTGAACCCAGGTCCTTGCACATGCTAGGCAAGCCTCTGCACGGAGCTACACCCTGGACCCCAAAACTTGTTAGAACAGGATGCAGCAGGCCTTGCCCACCAAAGGAGGAGGTTCAGAACTCAACCTGTACACCTTGTAACCGCCAGGAAAACTTCCTTATTCCTGGAAGATGAAACATTCCCTAAATCCAGTCACATGTCTTCTCGTGGATGAAGTAGTAACTGTAAAAATTCAGCTGGAAAAGCCATAGGCAAGAAACACATTTTTGGAAAAGTTTGCCTGCAGTTTGGCATAGCATTTGGGCCTTATGCTATGGGAGACCATGACACTCAGATGGGAACGGAAGCCAACAGGATGGGCGAGGCAGCTCTGAGACAGCAAGTGTGCGCAGGGGAAGAGGCCCTGAGCGGGGCCGGGAGGCTGGGGTCTGCACCCGCGGCAGCTTTTCCCCCTTCACAGGCCTCTGCCAGCTCCGTTGTGGCTGGAGAAGCTGCCTTTTCTCCTTTACCTGTTGAGCCACCCATCCTCCCCCTTAGCACCAGTCACTCATTGAGAACGCGCTGATCCCACATCTACTGTGCACTAACGACTCGTGTTAGTCGCTGAGTTCCCCCAGATGGACAGGACGCAGTTCCTGCCGTGGGGATCACGTGCTGGGCTGGGCAGTGGGTGATGCAGCGGGCAGGTCCCATCAGCTTGGCGTGTGCCATGGCCTGGTGAGCACAGGATGTGGTCTCGGTGGAGGGGTAGCTAAGCTCACTTCCGCCTTATGGTGCTGATTGGTGCAGTTTCTGGATGAGTGGAGAGGGGAAGCGAAGAAGAGCGTTTATGATGGCTCAGGGGGAGGAGGAGCCCGTGGGCCTCCGGCAGCCCAGCTGGTGAGCTGACCACACACATGCCATCTCTGCACGGCTCCGGTGAACAGCCCCCCACTTGAGCTGGCTGCATGAAATGACTCCATGTGCTGTGACTGTCTTTAACCCCGTGTGGCTTTATTTAATAAGATGTCCCCCCTTCAGAAGGAACTGAGAGGTTCTGCACCTGAGGAAATGATACAACCACGGAGGAGGCTGGTTGCTCAGTGCAGGGACAGAAGGGAACAGACCCTCGGAGAATCCGGCAGCCACCATGGTATCCCGAGGGCAGAAACACAGCAGGGAAGGGAAGCTGTGTGGGTGGAGCGCCTGGAGAAATGCAACAGACAGGTGCCCTCATCCTTCTCATGGGGACCCGGAAGAGGTCGGTGTGATCAAGCCTGCTTCACAAAGCGGGAAACAGAGACTTGGTGTGTGGAAGCCACGTCCCTCAAACGGGGCTGCCAGGACTGCCATAGTTTTGCTGATGGAGCAGAGGCTGGATGACATGGTCACAACACTGAGAAAGCAGCACCATGTGTGGAGCGCCTGGTAACAGCCAGACAGCACAGGTGGAAAGGCCTGGTGGCCTGTTGGAGCAGGGGCACAGGCAGTGGTGTAGATCTCAGCAGACAGCTGTGTTTCATTTACTCTCTGTATTCAATAACAGATGCTGTTGGGGCACAATCACAAAAACCAGCAAGCAAGCCAACAACGACAAGAAGCCACACCCTCATAGGAAGAGAGCCCCAAACATGGTCCATAAGTTTACTCTATGAAAGGTTCATTGGTGAGAGTGCTAGGACAGAAATAAAGGAAAGAGGGGAAAACAAAATGTTGGTTGCAGTTTTGGATGGAGAAACTAACAAAATGGCACTTGAGTAAAGACCTGAAGAGCCATGGGACCCCCGAGAAACAAGCATTTCAGAGGGAACAGCAAGACAAGGGTGGAATCTTGGTGGGCTTGAGACCCAGCACCAAGCCTATACAGCTGCGGGGGGCGAGTCTGCAGCTAGGGGAGAGAGGAGTTTTAACAAGCGCCACACCCCAGGAGGCCCCAGGGCCAAGGGAAGACCCCAGTTACTCCTCTATGCAGGATGGCGTGTCTCCCCAGTCCTGACATCACCTTCACTTTGTTCTAAACGCACTGATCTAATTCCTATGTCATGAATCCATGGTCTATAGGGTGAGGGCAGTGTGGAGGGGGTGAGGGAGAAGCACGAAGCTACCTGTATGACCCAGGTGGGTGATGATGGGCCGTGGACAGGTGGAGAGGAAGAGCCAGATCTCCATGGGCTTGGGAAGCTGAACCAACAGGATTTGCTGACAATTGGGTGAGCAAGAGAAATCAGGACCTCTGGATTTGGGACTGAAGCACCCATAACACCTTTAGCTGATGTGGAGAGAGGAGGAGATGAGTGGGGTTAGGAAGGAATACCAGGCTTATTCTGCTCAACCTGGGGCAGAGCTATAGGAAGAAAATGAAGACAGGAGAATCCCACAAACCTGGGGGAGGGAAAATTACCCAGGGTCACAGAAAACGGAGACCACGTGCATGGAAGGAAGGTCGTGGGATTTGGCAAAGACATGGTCCTGCAATCCCCAGGCAGGCACATGGTGCAGCTTGGCCTGGGCACTGCACCCCACACTTCTGCTCAATGACACGCTGGCCGGTTTCTTCTTCCTCTCTCCCTCTCTAGATCTTGGCAGACCAGTCTACTTTTCCACTGCAGACTTCAAAGCCCATTTAATTTAACAGCCTCTCCAGGGACTCTCTTGGAAACTAGTGGGAGAGTGCCCTGTCCCAGTATAGTACTTTTTATGCTCATTTTTATGGGACATTTATTTTTCCTGCTAAAAATATCCCAGGCCCCTCTGGAGGTAGAGGAAGAGGCAAGGTGGGAGCTGTGCAGGGGAAAAATGAGTTCCAGCGCCTCATGTATTTGCTCAGTGGACTGGGAATGCTCAACTTGCTGCGTGCGGGCTTGAGCACTGGCACTCCAAGGCCATTTCTGGATGTACTCACTAACAAATTCCAGCCCAGCCCTTCCTGTACAGTGAGAAGAAAGCCAGCATCCCCACCCACTCCTCGTAGGAACTCCCTCCCAATCACCTGGCCGGGTGCCATTCCAGTAGATGGCACGAAACTCAGTTCATGAGGCACAGAGTCCCAACATCTGTTTCTGTGGGTCTTCGTGATGTCATTCATCCTGAAACACCCCCAGCCCCCCGCACAGACAGCCCAGATTCTAAATTTAGAGGAAAAAAATATCAGAGGGAGAATTCCCACGGGGGTGATATTATGGATATGAAAGAGGCACCCAAAGCTGGCTTCCATGAATGGGCCTATTGAAGTACCCCTAAACTCTGTTCTTTGCAAAAAGAAAAGACAAATAAACCAGGCGAAGTCATTACTATGTGAAACGGGGCTGAAAATTTCATGAAGATTTTCATGGTTCCCAGAGCAACTGAGTCATGACCATCGCATAGATCCGAAGCTGACTTCTGGGTGGTAAGGGTCACATATCACAGGACATTTGAGTAACTGCCTAAAGAAAATCTCACTTAACCCAGCCTGAGAGAGGAGGACAGCTGTTTCTGAAAGGCAAAAGCAAGCCAATAAGGACCCGTCTGTAGGTGGAGCTGGAAGTGGAGGAAGGAGAGAGCTGGGAGCAGAGGGAAGTGCCCTGAAACTGTTCTCTGGGGTGAATGGTGTGACTCCTCCAGATTTGGGGACCAGCAGTTGGGAACCATGCTGGCGAGGTCTGGGCTGGACAAGGATGACAAAGGGACCATTTGTGGGTAACAGTCTGAGGCAGGCACACTGCATTAGTTCAGGCCAGTGAAGGGCTGAAGACGGTGGCAGAAGAAGGGGTGGGTAGGGTTGTACTGCTTTGCCAACTCAGTGCCCTAGAGTCTTAACAGAAATCGCACTTGGAATCCCCCTAGTGGAAAAAAGAATACTTTCATATCACATTGGGAGGAGTGCTTTATCCTCAGGCTTCAAGATGGTAGCCAAGGATTTGGTAATACTTGAGCCTGAGCTCATGAATGAGAGCTTTATCCGTTCCGTACAGATGACAGGGTTTTAATTGTATACATCTGTGCAGAGAAGAGTTAGCCCGGCCGCCCGAGCCTGCTGGGCTCAGGAAGTTCTGTTTGCACAGTTGGCCTTGGCTGGCATGTGGAAACTTGGCCAGCAGACAGTTCCCCATATTGATACCAAGCTGTCAAAAAGAATGAGGCTCAATCACCGTGTCTATGCTGCAAGACCCTGCGGTGTATGTGGAACACCTTTGCTGCTGGCCATCTGGAATTCTGGGCCCCCTGAGGTAGAGGGTGCTGTGTGACCATCTCCCAAGGTAGCCCTGGCACTGAGTCATTACCGCACTTCCCTGCTAGGAGCACTTGGCACACGCAGTTAGCACCCCTTGCCGGAGGAATGCGCACCTCTCCTCCCCCTCCCCCCCCCCCCCCCCCCGCTGGGAGAGGACTCTCGCGAGGTTGCCTTCCTTCCGTTTCTCTGGATTTCTCTCTACCTGACTTTTTCCTTAGCTGAGTTTTCTTTTGCCACAATTTATCTTAGTGTTGATTCTGATTTTGTGCTGGGCAAATCACTGAAACTAGGAGACCTTGGGGGCTCCTGGCACAACCAAATCACGCACACTGTAGAGTGGGATTAGCACTACCGTCCACATCACTCTTCCCATAGCTGGTAAAATAAGTCTCTAACCAGGAGGGTTTCGGGCAGTGCTGGGTCTTGCACATGCTGGATGAGTTCCCTACCACAGAGCTACACCCCCAGGCTGGATCTAGCCAGAGACTTCACAGGTGTTGGTGTTTTATCTCCTGAGCAGAAAGGTGACAGGATAGATGTGACAAGTTGAGGTCCACAGGTACCCTTCAGGGCACAGCAGGGCAGAGATAGATTTTCCAGAGGGTGCTTTCTGTGGAGGGAGCTCTTGGTAGGTGCCTAGCTGACCTACCTCAACCTGGGTTCCACACATTCTTTTTGCCCACATGCACTTAATAGTAATATCATCAATTAATGACTGGGTATGAGCCCCTGTAAAGTAAGCTGCATAACCTGATGTATTCATTTTGCTCTCAAAGAGCAACTTGATTCAGGATTGCGGGGTAGCTCCTCACTTATGATCCCCCTCACCTGGCAGGCAGAATTGCTTGGAAGCGTGCTGTCCTTTCTGGACCATCCCCCAGAGCAAAGCAAGCGTTTAGTTTGTGTATTCTGCCCAGGGTTTTAGAAAGCAACTTTCCATGCATTCAATCTTGTGTTCCCAGGCAGCCACGAAGATGCAGAGGCTTCCTGGCAGGCTGGGTCAGTTTCTCCAGCCCCAGCCGCTTCTGCTCACGTGGCAGACATTGCCGCGGAGATGAGAGGATGGTGCAGGAGTCAGGCCAAGAGGACGTCTCGGAAGTCTGGAAGGTTTGGATCACTCACAGACCTGTGACACTAAGGGCTCATTTTCTTTGAACCCTCCCCGTCCAGGCTGGATCCTTAGCCCTTATTAGCACATCCTTGGGAGAAAGCAGTTCGTGGGTCTGACAGCCCCCACAGAAGCCCAGGGAGTGTGGGACTCCTGTGTGTAGCAGTGAGGACTGAGAGGCAGAGCATCCTGGTGACCCCAGCACTCAAGGGAGTGACAAGAAGAGGGAAGAGAGAACCTGTGGAGGAGAAAGGGGCAAGCATGTGACACCCCGAGTGCTTTTCAAAACAAAGTGTGGCGTCCCCACCCCACTGAGCAGTGCAATAGGATTGAGGGGCCACTCAGGATTGCCCTTCCAGTGTCGCCCTTCCTAGGTTGTTGTAAGTGACTTCAAGTCCAAAGTTTAAAAAAAACACACACACATTCATATGTTCTTTACCTCCACGTATTGACAAGAGGCTGATGTAGGACTTTGGGGGAAAGCTATCTTTCATTCTTCCAATATTATGAGGTTAGTTTTAAAAATCCTATAATCACCAATTCAGGAAGTGCTGTGTGACCACCAGAACACACCAGAACTTCAGACACCCAAAAAGGAAATATGTCCTCACTGCTAACTTCAGACTGCTGTATCAGAGGTCTCTGGAGTCTGGGTGCCACGTGTCAGGGAAGAGCCTGTAAGAAAACCTGGTGTGCAGAGGACCCCTTGACTATCCAGGGAATCTGCGCTCCATCTCTTGTGCTGGTGAGCTCCAACCCCTCTATGTTTGCACTGACACATGCTGGACCTCTCTTGCTGCCAGGAGTCTATGAACTAACCCAGTACAGTGAGCTGAGAAGATGCCACGTGATGGGCAGAAGAGGCCAAGTCAAGAACCAACCCCAGCTCTCGTGGTGCAGATTCCCCATCACATGTTTCCCAGCTACAACCAGATTTTCTCAAAGACTCCCAGTGCCGACCTTGGAGGATGCATTTTCTCCCAGACTGATGGTTTTGTCTCTCGTCTGCAAAGATCTCTTAAAGAGATCCTCAACAAACAATTTGAGCTTCTCATAACTCAAGTCAAGCCAACATATACTGAAGGCTACAAAGTCAGGATGGAATGTTGTCTCTGACCTCATGTCCCCTGTCTTCACTCTCCTGGGGTTGGCTGTGACCCCAAATCATTGCTTGGCAGGCAACATAAAATCTCCAGCCCCAGCTGAGCCATTTAATAGGAGCTTAAGTTGAATGTTTAGAAGTTTTCTGGAGAAGAGAAGCCATTTCCCTAAGCATCCAGGAATATTTCATGCAACTATATTTCAAACTTTGCACTTCCTCTTGTTGCAAAGGATGAGCCATTGCTGTCTCATCCCGGGGCAAGCCGTCACCTGTATTTTGGGTCTTGTTCCTCGTTCCTGTTGAAGGATTCAGCGTCTTTCAGGACATCATCAAATTTTCCATTTCTGGTAGTTCAACCCACTGGCATCCGAACATGTGGTAACATCCCTTATTAAAAGAGTAAGAATTTAATCATCTTTCCCCTTCCACTTGCTTCCTTCTCCATCAATTTATTTCACTCTCTTTAAAGCAAAACCCCCTTGTCTATTCTTTCTCTGACTCATATCAGTTGGGCTTTGGTCTCTACCATAAAACTACAACCTCAATTCTTGGGGACACCGACAATGGTCATCTCAGTCCACTGGTCACTTCTTACCTGTGTCTCTTGAGCTATTCTTTCCAGAACTTTGCAAGAAATACTTTTTAAATGCAAATAGAATCATGTCAGTCTCATTCAAAACTTAGAATGAAATTCAGCTGGCCAAGGTGGGCCCTAACCCTATCCCCTTCTCTCACTATTCTCATGACCCTGGTCACTAACTTTATCCTTACACTCCTGGAGTTTCCATGGTTCCTGTACCTGCTACCTAGAATGCCGACCCCTGGATCTTTGCATCTTCACTCTCTCTTCTGTTCATGTACTTCTTGCTATTCAAAAGTAAGATGCTTATTAATTTATGCAGTTGTTTATTGTCTCTAAGATGACAGGATCTAAATTTCATGTCAAGAATTCAGTCTAGTTCACAAACGTATCACTGGTTCCTGAAACAGAGCCTGGCATATGAAAGAGATTTTATAAATATCTGCTTCAGTGAGAAATAAGGACAGCTGGAATTTATTGAGCATTTACTATGTGTCAGACACAGTGATCAGAGCACCCTCTCACTGAATTCTCCCTATGAGAAATTTGTTACTCTTTTACCTGCTTTTATAGAGGAGGAAACTTCAGCATGAAAAGAAGAACCGTGTCTAAGGCAGCACAGCTACCACGAGGTAGTGCTGGACCTTGGACCCAGCTTGGTCTCCCTCCAAATCCCCGGCTCCTGGCCTCGCATTTGTGCTGCCCCAGTGACAGCCACTTCTCAGTTGGAGTCCCAGGGACAGTTTTCAGATTCTCTGTTTAAAATTCTGCACGTGGCTACCACAAATGTTCTTTCCATTGTCGAGCAGCGCTGGAAAAAGCCACCGTGGCTTAGGAAGAGCCGCGAGCCCGCTCGGCCTGCAGGGTGGAGCACAGCTGGGTGTGGGGTGTAGGCCGCTGCATGAGGGGCAGCCAGCGAGAAGGGAGTGAGCAAGGAGCCCTGGGCAGCGCTGGAACACGGGGGCGCTCTACCCCTGCAGGCTGGCGGCTCTGATTCCCCTGGCTGGGCTCCGATGTGGGGCAAATTCCACACGTTTTCTCTGGCTGCCTTCTTTCTCGCCTACTTTGCCAGAGGGCGGGGCCCTCTTTAGGGGATGCTCCGCCCCACCCCGCCCTAGAGGTTGCCTAGCGACAGTTCTCCCGCCCCAGCTGCTGTCAGTTAACGCTGTAGGAGGGGCCGGAGCTGGAGGTTTGAGACCTCTCGCACCGCGTTCAGCAGGCAAGGCTGAGGCACATCCCACTCCTGACACCTCTGTTGTGTTAATCTGGCCTGCCAGTATGAGGCATTCATAGACTCCTGGAGGGGGATTAGGTTGCAAGGGCACTAACCTCAGGAGTGGGGTAACCCTTCGGAATTTTCATAGCTAAATGAGCGAGAGGTGGGCCTCACTGGGGGATATGGGTCAGGGACTCTGTCTGGCCCCTGATCCCTTCCTCTTGAGCTCTTTCCGGGTGCCACGAAGTTAACAGTTTTCCTCCACCACCCTCTCCCTCCGCTATGTTTCTGCCTTGCAAGCAGCTGCTGGTAGAATGAAACCTCTGGAACCGTGAGCCAAAATAAACCTCTCCTTTAAACTGTGAGTGTCTGGTGTTTTGTCCCAGCAGGAGAAAGTTGACCGACCTCGTCCCTTTACTGTCCATCCTCTCCCCCTCCCCACTTGCTTCCCGGGATCATGTGAATAAACTCCACAACTTTCTTGCCTCAGCCTCCCTAGTGCTGGGATTGCAGGCGTTTGCCATCACATCATACAGTCTACTGGAGTTCTTATCTCAGGACCTGCCTTTGGGGACACCTGGCCCAAACAGACTCCCTTTGCTAAATCTGCATGGCCTCCTAAACTGAACAATACCCAGGAGTGTCCTGGGAAGAAGTGGCCGTCTCCTCCCAAGTGTAGGTTACACCCTGCAGCAGTGAGCTTGCAGGTACTGTCTCTCTCCATCATTCTGTGGTAGAGCCTGGTCAGCAGGGCTGACCCACATCACAGGTGTGAGAACTGAGGCTCCAAAGGTGAGTGAATGCCTGACCCACACTCCAGGTGGGTTTCTGCTCCACCTGGGTATCAGGACAAAGCAGCTCTTGTCTATAATGTGCCCGAGAAGGAGCCGGGCACTTAGTGGGTGCTCAACCCATGGGACTTCCTTTTTCTCTTTCAACTTGTTTGTTTGTTGAGACAGGGTCTTGGTTTGTAGTCTAGGCTGACCTTGAACTCAGTAGGTAGCCCAAGCTAGCCTTGAATTTGGCTCCTTCTGCCTCAGCATTCCGAGTGCTGAGATTACAGGTGTGTCCTGTCTCTCCTGGCTTCCCTTTTGACATTTGTCATTCACAATCATTTCATCCATGCAGTTGGGCTCATATTTCATAATCAGAAATGCAGAGGCATCTGGGGAGAGGATGTTCTCCCAGGGGAATTCTGACACATGGTGCAGAGTCTCCCATGGGACTTTGTCTCTGTTCTTCCGGGTGCAGTTTATGAATCAGCCTGAGCTCTCTCTCTGGGTGAGCTGTCCATGTTCCGGGCCTGGTGCGACTGCCCATGTGACCTGTCACCTTGAAACCCTGGATGCTGCAGTCTCCAGATAGCTGCGCTTCTTAAGCTCCCGAAGAAATGGAGAACACAAGGGCTGAGTTAAAACAAAGCAGCCTCCAGCAGGAGTCCCAGAGTCTGGCAGAAATATGGCTTGCTCTGTGATCCTAAGACAGAGCTTTTCTTCTCTGCCAGCCCAGCTGGCTGTGGGTCTGCAGCCAGGCAGTTGGTCTTTTCAATGCCACATGCTGGAAATGTGTCAATCACCTGACGATGGCTTCCCCGAGAGAGTGGTACAGTGCATTCTGCCCACTCATGTTGTGTTTCCCATGACTCCTTCCTCTGCTGTTCACTAACAAGGCCCATCTGCCACGGCAACACCCATAGCCAATGGCACCCCGCACAGTGTGTTCTGATCAGCTGCACAATGTTTCCTTAAAGAAACACACACCTAGAAATGGTTCCTGGATGCGTTCCACAGGAACCCTGGCAATATGTATGAATATCCTTTATTTCCCAACACAGGATAAAGACTCACTATCTTTCCTTAGTGTCAGGAGTAGGTTCAATACATACTCATTGGCTCAATACTTAGAAAACCAATATCTTAATGTCCAAGTGGAAATCATGGACTCAGAAAAAGGAGATGAAATTCTAGAGCTATCTTCAGAGAAAAGCAATTTTAAGCTTTGAGGATAGCTAAGATTTCAATGGAAAAGGAGAGAAACAGACGAAGGAGCCAGGGTCTTAAGTGGGTCTGTGGCAGATTGTAACAGCACTGAGGAAGGGAACATGACGATACTGGTACATCAGTTCTAGACTGTGATTATCTTGCAACTCAGAGGGACATTCATGGTCACTGTAATGCTAGGGTCAGTGTACTGCAGGGGCTGGTGAGGACGCCTGACCTTTGCTATAGCCCTGACACTAGCTCCATGGCCGTGGGAGGAGGGGAAGAGGCAGTGGTCAGACATGGCCTAGAGTGTGAGGTCATCGTGGGATCCTGGCCCTTGTCTGACCTTGGCTGGCCAGAGCTTCCCTCCCATCTCCACCCTTCCATGAAGATGAGGGAGATGTGGGGAACACAGGGACAGGTGTGCTCTGCTCCCCAACAGTCTTGTAGAGGAAGACCAACTCTTGGAAATTTGATAGAGTTGTCCAAATCATATAATCAGCTGCATAGATTGTTTACAGTTCCATTTCTATAATAAACATAGATGTTTTTCATTTGTATCTAATCATGCCCACATCCATATAACCCATATAATCCATATAATCCCTCAACTGTATTACAATATACTTTTGTTCCCAGCCCAGTCCCTCTGCTCTATGCTCTCCTATCTCTTCTGGGATCTTTATCCATATTTAAAACTGGACAAACAAAAAAGTCATCTCAATCTGAGTTTCTGCTTTGATCTGGATTTCGGCAAGTACAGATGCAGCACCTTCCATTTTTTCACTCACCCCTTTCACTCTCTAAGCATGTGTTACCAGGCTCCTACCACCCTACTGACTGTGTTTCAGGCCAGCCCGAAGAGTTCTGACTCGGTTCGTCTGAGTCAGTGGTTTGCAGCCAGCTCAGCGGAGCTCGGTGGTCAGGTTTGCAGGGAAATCAGTGGATGTTCAAAGAAGCAACTGATTCCAAGCTGGTTCAAACCAGTTTGACTGGGTTCTAATCAGGTCAAATCCAATCTTCCAGGACCCCGTGCAGAAATCCAGCTCTAACAGGATGAAACAGTTACAAATGGAAACAAATCAAATTCAGAGAAGAACATACTGATGGAGACCAGATAAACATGCATCTAACTTGTTCTTACTGGATTGGACCTGGTGAGTAGAATCACGGCAGTTCACAAGAAGGAAACCAGTTGAAGCCAGGTAATAATACTGTTTTTATTAAAAGAAAATGGTGTAAAATGATTCTTACCAGAGCAAATGGACTCTAACTAATCTAGTTTAAAGTCACAGTTATCAACATAGGCTGGTTTAAACAAGATCAAATCAGCTCTAATTTCAGTAGCTTTACCAGACTTGTTCTGTAAAACCAGTTGGCCAATTTAAACCAAATGGATCTGACAGCCTTGCCAGATGAATATATAAATATGTTACTCACAATTTATTAAGGGGAAAAGATAGATAAATTACAAATGGTGTTATCCCTTCCACTAGCATTTATATATGTTATTTGAACTCAGGAATTCATGCATGTTAGACATATACCCTACACTCTGGCCTTGCATTATATCTTTTTTAAAAATGTTATTTAAAGAAAGACTAAACAAAACAGAAAATAGGTAGAAATAATACATACATTCAGAGAAAAAAATAAACAGTAAGAAATCACTAGTTGATGTTTACATATTGTAGTTTTACAAATAGTTGTTCAAGGTACAAAATGGAACTTGTAAAGTGGGAATTCAAACAGCAAGACTGCAAACAGTTCTGTTCAACTCTCCAACAAAAACTTAGTAACATGGTTGTCAATCCTATACACTTAAACATACATGCAGTTATCCATAGCTTCATTTGTGTTTAGATTAAACAAACTAAAGCAGGTTAAAATCATTCTGAACAAAGAATAATAGTATTGCTGGATTTCACATCATGACACTCCATGATCAGCACTGGGTACTATAGTGTCTTTTTTTAAAATTTAATTTAAAGAAAAACTAAACAAAACAGAAAACGGGTAGAAATTAATGCATAATTTCAAAGAAAAAATAAACAGTAAGAAATCACTACTTGATAATTACAGATTGTCTTCTTACAAATAGTTATTCAAGATACTAAAGTGGAGCTTATAAAGCACGGATTCAAATGGTGAGATTGCAACCAGTTGTGTTCAACTATCCAACAAAAACTTAGAAATATGGTTATCAATCCTATATACTTAAACATACATGCAGTTATACATATTTTCAATTATGTTGAGACTGAATAAACCCAAGCAGGCTAATATCACTCTGAACAAAGAATAACACCATTTCTGGGTTTCACATTATGACACTCCAGGATCAGCACTGGGTATTTTAGTGTCTCTTTTTCTTCAAAGTATCTGTTCATTTCATCATGTGTCATATGATCAGTTATTATAAACTGTTTATAGATTCTACACATGCATGAGTCTTAACATGTATTTTTATCCTTTATCTATTAGAGGGAGAAACAAAACAAAGCAAGGCAAAACAAAGCATATTCCTATAAACACATGAAACGAAATACACATATAAGACCATTGTACAAATCGTTCTACCATGGTTCCTGTGCGATACTATCAATCATATCAGCTTTGAATAAAATCTTTTTTGCCTCATTTCTGTTATGCTCTTTTTTTGCCATCAGTTGTCTGCTTATCTTCTTCATTTTGTTTTCTGCTCCATTCATTGAGGCCTCTCTACCACTGTTCCTGGAATCTTAGTACTTTTCTCTCTCTCTAGAATGCCCTGGAGTATTCTCTGTACAGTTAGATTGGTGGTTGCGAATTTTCCAAGTTCCTCTTTGTCTTGGAAGCATCTTGTTTCTCCAT